CACACTGTAGCTCGATAGATTTTTGATATCCTTTCGTACAAGGTCTATAGGTGTCTGTTCGAATCAAGGCTCGTTTGATGTCCCACGCACTCCCATATGCCTCTGAGTGACACTACTGCCGATACTGATCCGAACAGTCTTGCCTGCGCCGTTACACTCTATATCATAACTTTTAAGTACTCGCGCTATATATTTAGGCCTAAGTATAGAATTATATAAAGCGGAGATTCATTTAGTTTGAGAGGTAGTAGGGAGTATAGTATTAAGAGGTCGTGGCTCTTAGTCTGACGGAATACTCAGATTAGAATAGCCCCTATAGAAATACAACTCTTATTTGCAATCAGCCGCCTTTACTACATCGTGAAAAAAAATATAATTAGTATGTATAAAAGTCTTAGATTTCTACGTAAAGATTGTACTACAAGAGAAGATTATATGTTTAGACAACACTATTATATAGGTATATCTTGTTAGTATTACGCTGATTTGGTGGGTGTAGTTTGTATCCGTTTACTTCGTCGGACTAAGGGCATGGGCGTACCTGACGCTAGCGCAGAGCCGCGGCCAAGGTGACGTTTGTTGCCCCGCCACCCCGCCACATCTTCAACTGTTTTTCTAACCGCCATCATCATCGCCACGTTGCGACACCTGTGACACCACCCAAACCAAGATACTTCAATATGGCGTCTGCTACTGCCGCCGACATCCAGGGACCCTCTCACCCGAATCCAGAAGGGCTAAACACATCCGCAAGCACGCAATTCCCACCAATCAATATCGGCACACGCAACTCGGTTCTTGCGCAAATCCAGGCGCGCGCGGTTGAAAGAAGCTTAAAGGAAGCAAACCCTCAGAGGACCTACAATATATGCCCTGTAGTGGTTCAAGGTGACAGGGATAAAACCACGCCTTTGCAACAGTTGAGCCAAGGTGAAAATGCAAAGAGTTTATGGACCGGAGAGTTGGAGAGCATGCTGGAGTCGGGTGATCTGGACATAATTGTGCACTGTCTAAAGGGTATATGAGATCATGCCTGGGATCGATCTAGGGCTGAGCTGACGGACCTAAACAGACATGCCTACTCAACTACCGGAACACCTCGAGCTCGGTGCCATTCTCGAACGTGAAGATCCTCGCGATGCCCTGATTATCTCTCCCCGCCTACCCAAAGAAACCACATTGGCTACATTGCCTCAAGGCGCCACCATTGGAACGTCATCTGTACGCCGAGCTGCGACACTACGAATGTTATACCCACATCTGAAGTTTGCCGATTTGAGAGGCAACGTTGGTACCAGGTTAGGTAAGCTCGACGCCGAAGATTCGCCGTACTCGGCTATCATCTTAGCTGCTGCTGGTTTGAAACGCATGGGCCTTGATAACCGCATCACACAATATCTGAGTGGCAGCAATGGGGGTATGCTGCATGCTGTCGGCCAGGGCGCTTTAGGCATTGAAATCAGAAAGAACGACAAGGCCATGAAGGAGCTTTTGAGCACTATCCGATGCGAACGGACAACCAGAGCGTGTTCAGCCGAGCGGACACTGTTGAGGACCCTAGAGGGAGGGTGCAGCGTACCTATTGGTGTTGAGACATCATGGAGGGGCGGGAAAGGCTTGTCCGTTGGCACACAGCCAGCAAAAGACTATGACAAGCACGGAAATGCCATGGAAGAGGAAGAGCCAGATATGGATGATCAAGAGTTGGTGTTGAAGGCTTTGGTGGTCAGCGTCGATGGCAAAGAATCCGTCACAGCCGAGGCTGCCCGAAAAGTTCGCAATGCGGAAGAGGCGGAAGAAATGGGAAGGGAAGTCGCCAAGGCGCTGATCGAAAAGGGTGCGGATAAAATCTTGCAAAAGATTAGTGTAGAGAAGCAATGGGCAGCGAAGAAGCAGCTTGAAGAGTTGAAGGCAAAGTCTGGCAGCTCATAGATTATGACGTGTTTAATCAAGAATTGAAGAGAATATTCACATGGTACTGACAGCGCATACAACCAATGAATGATGCTGGTCACGAAATTCTCAAACATCCCAATACTTGAATTTTAGGTTGTACAAACAACGTGACTGCACACTGAGAGACCTTATATATGGGAGACCCCGGTAGCCTCAGAATACAGAAGGTAGAGATTGCACAACATTGCGACTCTAACAGCTTTTAGTATCTGACCTTGAATCTCAACCGCAATACGAAAACGCCATTACCTAACCACACAAATCAACATCGCCAGCTCACCTTCCCCGGCGAAGACAAAGGCCTTCCAAGATGTGTGAACGGCACTGGACCCAGTACCTCCACTGCAACCACGAACACCGACCCATGCGACACACCTACCGCTGTCACCGCGTCGACGCCGATGCGCGGCCCGAGTTGTGTTCCGTGTTCAAGAAAGTAAGAAGGAAGATCAAGTATCCCGACATGTGTGATGATTGTCGGGATGCTGGGGTCGAGGTGGATGAGGGGTATAAGGCTGGAAGGTATGGGTAAGGAAAGGGGTTGCTTGGAGGGAGTAAGATATCTAGTGTATGCGATAAAGGAGTAGGTAGAAGTACATGTTAGTTTTAGGTGTAGCAGATGAAGATGAAGGGGTTGGTGGGTTTAGGACGAATGGAATGAGTTGATCAAGGTTTATGTTGTGTCGAATATGTATGGACTGTGTCGATGTTGGGTATAGTAAGAGGCATGGAAGGTAAAATCTTTGATACCTGTGTCTGCAGAACGGCGTTGCTTTCAGATTTTACGACATATCTGGAACATGTCGCGATGGGAATTTCACAGTAGAGTAGTGATAGATGGGCGTGTTGCTGTGTGAGCCTCTTGCCTGATATAGGTAGTGAGCATCGTTCTGCCTTGGCGTTGCAGGCAGTATTGATGCACTGGCGCCGCCAACTCACTCGGGAAAACTAAGGAAGGTACTTTTCTCGATTTGGCAGGAGCAGAAGGGAAGAGTAGATTATAGTGATTGGGCACTGCTATCTTTATTTCCGGTAGATACCGGTGGTGGTGTGCTGTCGTTTTGGGTCAGTGTGATGAAGGGGTGCTGCCTGGCTTGAGTGATGGTGTGCAACCATGACCGATGCAGCGGGATCAGACCTTCGTGCTTGACGTCAAGTTGGACAAAGGACCCGACAACCTGGTACCACGCTGTTACATTCAGATTGACGTGCGCCAGCACGCCGCCTTCCGCAGACATAGCGGGTGCATTGGGCAGCGGCGTGAAGTCCTGGGTAAACCTTCTCCATTGGTTGCTTGACCGATGACGGGACGTCCCGAATCCGTGTCTGTTCTCTTTTTCAAGTCATCACCTGGTTTCTTTTGCTGGTCTCGTGCTGGAATGCACTCATGCGTGGTCACGTTGAGCAAAGTCGTGGTCTGGATAACGTTGACCAGTTGTATCTTCTGCACACTGGGAATGACTGACTTATCCACCAGTCATTTTGCGGATGCATCATCGCTTTTATGGAAATTATAACTGAATACATGTTCCCTATCGATGTGGAGTAGCAGGCATGGTCCGTGGCGTATCATTTGCTTTTGTAGGCGTCCTCGTACTACGATCAACCTCCTCTGATCAACAGTCCTTGCGCTGGCAAAACTGCAACTAGGGTGTGTATAGTAAATTATTGGTCAAATGACACGATAAATAGACCATACAGAACAAATTGCCGCGGATAACCGGCAACAGGTAGGAATTCCATTTTCGAAGCCGTAATATGGCCAGTCAATAGGAAATGCGATTGCTATGACCGATGACCAACTATCAAAGCTTCCAATAATATTTACGTATGTTCCTTCAAATAGGATGACAGCTGACATGAGCCAGTAAACAATCTTGGAATATTACCAGACTGGAGCTTTGCAGGCTGGATATCACAGTGCCGAGCAATAGAGAATCTTGGGAAAATTAGTTACCTTCTTCGACCAACCGAAGCTGATAAAACCACTCCATTGTTCTCAATTTCAAGTATACCCCGTGAGCCTAGATATTCCTTGATCAATACTCGAATCCAGGAGAACAGTCTCTCTGCCCCCTAGTTGAGCAAAAATACAGTCATGAAAACGCTATGACCATAGCCGGACTATTTCTTATTACGTCGTGTAACCTGATCGGGGCTCTTGCTCGGAAAAATGAAATCTCATAAATCTTGCCTGTATCGGGTATAGGTGCCGAAAGGGTGATCAGTGCCCCAGCCCCCTTGCTGACAAGTTTCTGGACCAGCAAGAGAAAGTAAAATTGAAGCAAACGATTTGATCCACTGCAGTCATATTTCTATAAACAGTAAGTATCAAAAGTACTATGCTGAATATTAAGGACCGCATCTGACCACTGTAATGCTAGTTCTATCAGGGATATATTACCTACATGCACCGAATAGTTGCGTAAAGTATGTCCTAGATTGAAAGAAATAATTCAAGTGGACAATTATTATCGGTGAACATAACACGCCAGTGCAAAGTATGTGACATAACGACGCTGTACACCGAATACCAGTGCGGATCTAGACAGACAGCAAAAGCCATGTATCATATTCTAAGATCATACAGCAGAAGCCCCCGGGCCAAAAATTCAATATATGCAAGATCAGACTACAAAACATCTGATAGCAGTAATCCATCATGAATCCTGATGAGAGATTGTCGGGCATGATGCACGGTGAACAGAATCTGATCATCCTCCACTTATCCCAAACGAGGCTTACCTCGCAACCACTACTATTCCGGAAACTACCGGAAACCACCGCAAAGGGCTGTTTGCATGCCACCGCTGTCGACACTCAGTGTCGCTCATATTTACTTCCTCCATTAGTCTACCAACTTTTCCAGATTCGGTGCATCGTTAAATGCACCCTCACAATACCCTCTTCCCAATCCTTGTACTGCTCCAACAGCTTAGCATCTTCATATTGCTTTTATTAGTCCCTCTAATCCAATTGCGCTTGCATCGGCGGCGACACAACCATCGCAAACCGCAATAAAATCTTTTCTGTAGTACCAGACGTCAAATATATCCGATGTGCCCAGCTCTACAAGATGCTTTAAACTGAGCCCATCGGGGGCCCAAAATATTATTGACCTTTTCATCACGAGCGCTCACTCGGCCATCCGCAACAAGGAAATTCTTTGTCGAAAAAGACAGTATCAATCATGATGTTCCAGAGATCCCCCAAAATGATGCTGACGTGTGTACTGACCATTTGCCAAAATTCCGGCGCATCAGATCGATGGTACCCATCTCCCTTCGTTTTTCTTCCGTGCTTTTGAGTGACTTGCTTTCAGAGATCATGGGGTTGCAACAGCCACCAGCCAGCGCATGATGATCCACCAAACTACTCGAGATAATCCACAGTACAATCGTCAGTAGAGGTTGTATGACATCGGGGAGATGGAAATATCCGGGCACAAGACGCTCTTTCAGGTTTCTATCCTAACAATATCTCGATCATCTACAGATCTCGATGATAATCCAATGTATCCATCATCACTTCACACGCAGAGGGTGTCGTGTCTCCTCCATGACCTCAAGAAAAGAAAGAGAGAGACAAATAGCCAAACCTATAAACTCTTCCAATTAAGCACTCCAAAATTCTTCTACCAACCCACCCTTCTAACCACAACCTTCGAAGCCAGAATCAAACCTCGCAGCAATGGCCGCCCTCCTCCAACTCCACGCCATCCGCGCAAAAACAAAAGAACAACTTCGAACCCTCAACCTAACCTCGACCCCACCCCCCATCCAACCCCGCCTAAGCCCCTACGCACCCCCCTTCGAACGCGACCCAAAAGCCTTCCCGCAAGACGAAGAATCCCACGCTTCCGACCCCTCCCCCTACACCTCCCTCCCCGGCATCTCGCTCCAACCCACAAAAACGGGATCACACTTCTACCTCGTAAGCTGGGACTCAACCACAGACCCGACAAACCCACGCAACTGGTCCCTTTCCAAACGCCTGAAAATTCTTTTTCTGCTAGACTTCGTCGCTGCAATCGTAACGACAGCGAGTTCCATCGAAGCACCCGTCGCGCCGCAAAGCGCTGCGTTCTTCGGGGCCGAGGAATCGCTACATGCGTTTTGTAGTACGGGGATTTATCTCATGGGGTTTGGATTGGGCTCGTTGGTTGCGGCGCCGGCGTCTGAGATACTCGGACGATACCAGGTGTATCTGTATTCGCTGTTGACGTGCGAGTGCTGGCTTATTGGTGCGGCGCTGGCGCCGAATTTGGCGTCGTTGGCGATATTCAGGTTTTTGGCGGGGTGTTTTGCGTCTGCGCCCATGACGGTGGCGGGGGGGAGTATGAGCGATTTGTGGTCTACGCGGGAGATGACGTGGACGTTTCCTTTGTTTGGGGCAGTGTGTTTTGGGGGACCTGTATTGGGGCCTTTGATTGCGAGTTATATTGGAGAGAGCGAGGTTGTGAGTTGGCGGTGGGCTGAGTGGATAATTGTGGTTCTGACGGGCATTTGTATAGTGGTTGTTGCGATGGCAATGGAGGAGACGTATCCGCCGCAGCTGCTGAAGTTGAAGGCGAAGCAGTTGAGGAAGTTTACGGGGGAGAGGCGATTTAAGACGGCGAAGGAGGATGAGGATGAGGGGCTGGGGAGTAAGCTCAAGAAGAACTTTACAAGGCCGTTTCGTTTGGCGCTGGAGCCGATTGTGGTTCTGCTGACGTTCTACAACACGCTTGTGTATGTGGTGTTGTTCACGTTCCTCGTGGGTTACCCATACACATTCCAAAAGACTTACGGAATGAGCCAAGGGCTGAAGAATTTGTGCTTCCTTGGTTTGTTGTTCGGTATCATGCTATCGGCAGCTCTCATTCCCTTGATTTGGACAAAGACAGAGCGGCTGTGCCGCGAGAAAGGAGATGATGGGTCGGGAAAATCGATTCCCCAGGAGTCACGACTGATGTTTGCGATGTTCGGAGCGCCATTCTTACCGATCGGGCTCTTCTGGATGGGCTGGACAAGTCATGTAAGTACAGAGCCATATATGCTTCTCTATCGGTTTATTGACGTAAAACAGGAAAGTATATCAGTTTGGTCGCCACTTGCCGCCTCGGTCATCATTGGTTTCGGTACGGTATGCATATTCATGAGCACCTACCTATATATCATCGACAGCTATCAGATGTATGCTGCATCTGCACTGAGTTTCCAGAGTACGGTACGCTATGTTATAGCCAGTGTCATGTAAGTTTTTAGTTTTGGACATGCTCGTCGTGGGACTGACTGAGATTAGGACAATCGGCGGTACAACAATGTATAGGGACATTGGGACGAACTGGACGCTAACCGTGCTTGGGTGTATTGCCATCGTCGTTACTCCTGTTCCATATGTTTTGTACCGCTATGGCGTAATCATTCGCGGGAAGAGTAAATTTGCTATTAGATAGTTGAGACTCCAAGTATCAGGAAAACATAGAAATACTATTAGGTGTTAGATCAGACAAATTTCATAGTTGGCTGCCAGTCTTACATTCGCGACATTGATGATTGCAGAGGCGTGGATGCTGGGCCGAAAGAACATTTGGTGATCGCAATTACTGCAACAGCAGTAACATCCCAGATTGAATGAATTGCTCATCATGACCATTGAAGGAAGGTATAAGAAATCAGGAGAAGTTCTCATAAGGATAGCAATAGGTGTGTATAAATGTTGTGAGATGATTCCAGGATATGAAAAACTATGTTACAACTAGAAATGACCGTGGGTATCGTAAAGAGAGCGAATGCGCTTGAAAAACGACATAAAAAAGGCTCCTTGAAGGTCTCTGATAATGAAAAAAAACTTATTGTTGTGGTTTATATACCATGCCGCCGCTCCTTGTATAAACATCAGTGCTTGCTGGTCCGGCCCACCGCCTGCTCGCTTCTTCCCTACCCTTTACTTCCCTCTCATTTTGTACAACAACACAGCAGCAACAGCAACATCCTCTTAGTAGATCGCTACCAAGACTGCCTTTAATTTTATATGCTCTTCGGATGCGAGTCCGCTGTAGCATTGGAAAAAGCCACCATAAACCGCATGACAGACCCATAACGATGCAGTGTCCGTTAGTGGTGCTGTGACCCAACATATCTGTCGGGTCATTCTTTGCAGACTTTTGAGATAGGCGATACGAAGTTCTTCCGTAGACGATGCAGGGGCAGAAAAGACCGGTAAAGCATATAGCCGGTTCTGGACTACATGCACAAAGACCGTTTGACCATTCATGGGAGCTTTCAGATTCCATATTTGGATGCGAAATTTGACCCGGTTGGTGTGCAGCAAAGTCCAGGCCGTTGGGACCGTGGGCAGCATCTGGAGAGAAGACAGCGTGCATATTATTGGTTTGGCCTGTTACGAAGCCATGAGGCGAATATGGTTCATGTGCATATGATGCTTGATTCGTAGGAGAGACAGCAACTTGTCGTGGTTGCTCTTTGTGCATGGAGTTGGCTGAAATGGGGGTCATTGGTGCTTTTTGTGGTAGCGGTGACGTCTGATGGGTTCCTGATGGTGGGGTAGGGGGAATGGTGGGCATAGTGTGCATCCGTACGTTTGTGTTGATGGGCGATAGGTTGCTCATTTGTCGTGCGTGTCTACTCTGCTGCTGTGTATTTGCCTGCGAGCTTTGATGGACGGGTTGCGGATGTGGTATCGGCGATACAGGAGAGTATTGTTGAGTTTGGGGATACGAAGAATGCTGAGGCGAGACTGGCGACACAGGAGGCTGTACTTGTTGCTGCACGTGAGAGTGCTGCATGTCAGCCGCATGAGATTGGGGCGGAACAACCGGAATTTGCGCATCAAGCATCGACTGAGGGCGCGGGTCGATTGGTGTGTACCCCACCGGTGACGTCGGAAGAGATATGGGCATAGAATGTGGCATCGGAGGGTCACTTGGAGAGGACGTGTATACGAATGCGCGCATCTCTGCCGGTGTCTGGGCGTAAGAGAAATGACGTGACACATCTGTGTCGACACGTTGCTGGGGCTCTTGCTGGTGTTGTTGCGGTAGCGGTTGCGGTTGCGGCTGATGGTGCTGATGCTGATATTGCTGCTGTTGCTGTTGCGGTTGCTGATACTGCTGATAGTGCTGTTGTGTTTGGTACTGCTGCGTCGCAAGCTGCTGAGGCTGGTGCTGTGGAGCTTGCTGCTGTCTCTCTTGATAGGGTGGAACCTCGTCGTCCAAGGGCTGCTGCCATGAGAAGCGGGTGTGCTGTCGTGAAGTCATCTGAGGCTGAGCTTCCTGACTCTGTCCGTAATTCCTGGGGTCCATGTTGTGCAAACAAGCTAAAACGAGCCTCTTCTAAACTTGGTGGACTGGTCGGTGAACGGGAAACGAGGTATATCGACGCTGTATCTCAAGATGCCATTGATTTCAGGTGCAGTGAGTAAACAAGACGTATGGGATAGCTGGCTATAAACTCCTAGAGCGTGGGATGTGGAACACGATCCAGCTGGGGGCAAGGAGGCCTGATATTGGGGCCAGTGGTCTGTACATCGAGTCCATAGCTGCACAAGTACCAACCCGAGCAAAAAGGCCGCACTGGAATGGAGCCGCTTCGCGCTCTGGTTGGCTCTTGGCTGTGCCTCATGTCGTAGGCGAGTGGCATTGCGAAAGCAGATTCGCAGAGCTCCCGCCGTAAGATGGACCTCTTTTTAGACGTGCAGTTGAGGCGCAGGCGTGGCCAATTGGAGAGGGAGTTGACGTGTGACAAGATTGTGGAGCGAGATGGTGGGCGCTTGCGGGTGTCTCGGCTCCACTACGCCCGGCCAATCAGCAATTCGCCTCGTCCACCTCGCGCCTTTGCGGACCGCTGTGGGGTGGCTCTGACCCAGGCACCTTGACGCAACTGGCGAGCATTGTTGGCATTATCCCAGGCCAAACAAACTCACGCACAGCCTCAGTGGCGGAGATAAGTACATGTTTGAGTCAGTCTTGATCCTTTCAACACGGTTATTTGAGGCCTAGAACTGCCGCTCTCAACGACCCGCTTCACCTAGGTACGTACACCTTCACTGCATGTCTGCACTGACACGAGTCATTTCGCGGAAAGATGCCGAGCAAGCTTCCTCTTCATCTGCGCCTCGGTTGATACATGTTGGAAAGACAAGAGTGAGTATTCATGTAATTGGTTGATTTAATAACACACATTATACAAGGGAGGCGCCGTCCATCGTTGCCTCGAAGCTTCTCAGGCAATCCAGATGGAGAGGATATGAAGATGCATCATGCTTATGCGTCCTTGTCGACCTTGGTGTTACCACGCTCCTCCTTGTTTTCCGCGCCAGGACGATCGGTCGAGACGGTTCCTTGCAGCTTAGCGGTTTCAGCAACGCCCTCACCCTTCTTGCTCTTCTCAGAGTGTTCGGAAATCGGCGAAGTGTGTTCGGTGTTGTCGTTGGACAAGCCTTTTTGCTTGCCAGAGGTCTCGTTGGTGCTCTTGGTCTCCTCTTTGCGGGGGTCGGGCTACACACGTTAGCACACTCTCTCTTCGGTCTTGGGTCTACCAACCTTGTCAGACTCATCAGGAGACTGCTTGTCCTTTTCCTCGCTGTTCTCCTTGGTGGGCTTGGAAGGGTCCTTGTGCTCGCTCTTTGGCTTTTCCTCGGACTTATCCTTGGATTCCTCCTTGGGCTCTTCCTTGGGCTCCTCCTTGGGCTTATCGTCTGCCTTCTTTACGACCGAATCGGTACCATGCTTGGGGGCATCTCCTTCGCCGTGGGGTTCACCGAGAGGGTGGTGTTCGGCGCCGTGGTTTGTATCTTGGTTGATGACAACATAGAGACCGACAGCAGTGCCGATGACAGCTGCGCCTATCCTTGAGGATCAAGTCAGCATGCGTTCGGCGAGGCCAGTTGTGATCAGAGGTATATGTATATCCTTGCCAAGAACTGTACCGGCTCTTCGGACAAAACAACAAAAGAAACCCATCACAGTTGAGCTTGCTCCATCGAGATTGTGTCTACAATTGATATACATTCGTCTGGATAATAGCAGCAAGACATCTTTGACATACCATGGGACGTCACTGCTCTTCGTCTCACCATGCGAGCCGTGGCCGCTGGCGTAGGTTCTGCGCTGCACAGCTCGTTGCCATGGCTGGAGCTCGGCGGCGCGGATATACCTGGTCGGGCGTGCAATTCGTGCAAAAGAGGAAGCGCGGGATGCGGAAGATCTTAAGAAGGACATGATGAAGCTTAGGTGGGCTAATTAAAGCTTGCGACGGGCAATTGATAGGAGAATCGTAGTTATGATGCGCGTAGAGTAAAGATCAGGTCATGAAGGCGAGAATTAATCGGTACGTCACTTGAGTGCGTCTAGCCCTACAGGCTCTAGTTGGTCACGTGCACCTGCGGCGACACGGCAGAGCATACCAGGCCGGACATTGCGCCATCGCGACAGGTGACTTCGTTTTGTAAAGCAACACGGGATTAGAGCCGACTAGTTGTCGCGTAAATTGTTTCTTAGTAGTACTGTCGTGTTCACAGTTGCGAGAGATGCATTCGTCTGATACTCGTTCCGCCGTGTCTTGACTGCTATGGACACGACGGCCGTGCGCATGGTTCGAGCTCTCGAAAGCAACGCGCAGGCAACGACAGCCCATTCACTTCGATAGAAGCTTCTTTTGCTCCGTAGCGGCCAGTGGTGCCTTCACCACCTAACAATTTTACCACCAAACTCTCAGCTCCTCGCTCTCAATTTCTTTCCTTCGTTCTTGCTCTCCTTCTGTCTTCCCGCATCAGCTTATAACCCCAACCCCAACCCCACTATAGCTGCCCCGCCTGCCAGTGACAACAGTAGACCTCACAACACCACACACCATGGCGCCCTCGTCGGTCCCGCCCAACCCGACCGCACACAATGTTGCCCAATTGTTGCCGCGATTTGTCGACGATGACCCCGACTTCCGCTTCATGGCCTTGAGTGACCTGCACGACATTCTCGTTGTCGCTCACCCTGGCCTTCTCCTTCACGATGACGTTGTTGCAGCAAAGACTGTCGAAGGCCTGCTCACAACGCTTGTCGATACGAACGGCGAGGTTCAGAACCAGGCCGTCAAGTGTCTTGGCCCGTTTGTGAACAAGATCAGCGACAAGACGTTGCCAGTCATGATTGACAAGCTCTCGACGCTTCCCACAGGCAATACGGTCGACCAATCAATACCCGCTCTTGCTCTTCGCGAAGTCGTCGTCTCCCTCCCACGCCCCGTCCACGGTGCTGCGCGTAGCAAGGCCGTCGTAAACGCATACAGCGCCATCAGCAGGGTACTCATTCCTCGTTTGATCGGATACAACGTTATACCCCCAGCACAACAGGGTCTTACGCAGCCACCCAAGGGTATGCTGCAAGAGGATTTGGACAAGGGAACAGACAGCAATGCCATCGATGTGCTGACCGAGGTTGCCCGGTGCTTCGGCTCCATGTTACAGGATGTTGAGATCCAGGCGCTGCAGCAGATTACATTCGCTATTCTTGAGAATGACAGGGCAAGCTCCATGATGAAGAAGAAGTCGGTTACTGCCATCTCCACACTAGCTGGCTACTTTTCCGATTCATTGCTGAGTGGTTTCCTATCCAAGATGATTGAACTTCTACGTGACCCGCATCTTACTCGCAGCAAACGAAAGCTGTATATTACTATACTAGGATCTATGGCACGTTCTATTCCACGGAAATTTGGACCGTATCTCAAGACTCTGGGGCCTTTCGTCTTAAGCGCGTTGAGCACCGAGGAACAAGCCGAAGAGATGGACGTATCCGATGATGAGGGAGAGCGCGACCCAGAGATCGACGAGGTTCTTGAGGCTGCTCTCATTGCGCTGGACGGCTTCCTTGCTTCCTGCTCGAACGACATGCGTGCATACACCGAAGAGACGATTGAAGCCGCGACACGATACCTAAAGTACGACCCAAATCTGGCGCAAGATGACGAAGATGACGATGATATGCCAAGTGACGAAGAAGACGCATTGGAGGGCGAGGACTTTGAAGAAGAAATTGGCTACGATGACGATGATGATGCCAGTTGGAAGGTCCGTAGGTGTGCAGCCAAGGTTCTGTACACACTCATTTCGACACGGAGCAACGGCGATCTTCTTGAAGATGGGACTCTCTACAGTCGAGTCGCACCAGCACTCATCGCACGGTTTAAGGAACGCGAAGAAAACGTTCGCTTGGAGGTTCTGGCTACACTATCCAACTTGGTGAGGAAATCGGGTGACGGTCCCTCGCCAGTCAAATTCGCTGATGAGCCAACTCATGGCGGTATGATGTTACCACCAAGCAAGAAGCGCCGTCGTGGTGGCAGTGATGCAAGCATGTTCGATCTTCAGGAGAGTTCTTCCTTATCTATGGGTTATTCTTCACCTGCACCAGCCGGCACTCCTCCAGCAGGTCCTCGGGCTAGCTTAGCAAAACTCAGCCCAGACATCGTCAAGGGTGTTGCGCAACTACTTAAGCAGACATCTTGTCCACCGACTACTAAGCAAGCATCCATTTCATTGATCAAAGATATCGTCATCACTCAGCGTGGCGGTCTTGACGGCTATCTGAGTCAGCTTATCAGTCCTGTTGTAGAAGCTGCAAAAACTACTGGAGGATCATCAAGCAGTGCTTCGGCAACAGCCAACAGTTTGCGAACTCAAGCTTTGCAGCTGATAGGGGCGATAGCAGATACCCACCCGTCCAAGTCTATCCAGCCGTATCTTGAATCCATTGTTGATGCACTTCTTTGTGGCGTCAAGGAGAAGTATAGCAAGCTATCTATTGAGGCTCTTGCGGCAGCCGAACAGGTCATCAAGGCGCTTACACCACCTCGATCCGCTGTGTCAGGCACGGAAAACCGTCAATATCTGGAGTCCCTTTATGAAGCGCTGGTTAGTAGGATATCAGCAAACGATGCAGACGTTGAAGTGCGCCGGAGTGCCATCCATGTCCTTGGACTACTTCTAGGTCGAAGCTCAGGAACCGAGGGCTTGCTTGCCTCGGATAAGCGAACGACTGGACTTGAACTTTTGGCTGAGCGCCTGAAGAATGAGCTTACTCGCCTTGCTTCGGTCCGCGCAATTGACTCAATCGCTGCCCATACAAAGGCAAAAGATGAGCTGTCAGCCAAGTGGGTGCAGAGCGTCGCAATGGAACTTGGTGCACAATTGCGAAAAGCCAGTCGTGCTCTACGTGGTGCAAGCTTGAGTGCACTCCGCACCCTCGCACTGAACCCACATTCGCGGAGTCAACTCGATAATCAAACTCGGATGCAGGTAGTCGATATGCTGTTGCCATTACTCAACGCAAACGACCTTCACCTCCTAGGTCCTGCTCTTGTCATTCTCGCTACCTTTGTCAAGGACGATGCACAAGCTATCATGACACCAAGTCTTACCGCCGCGCTATGTCAGGTTGCTCAAGGTTCCATTAGTGGAATGCCACTCGATGCATTACTCAAGCTTGTCCGTGCCATAGGTGAGCAGCGCGTAGGAAAAGAGTTGATGCAAGCTCTGTTGCAACAAGTTGGTGTGTCCGGACATGCAGAAGTCGTCGGCAAAGTTATTGGCAATCTACTTGTGTATGGCGGCGACAGTGTCGGTGTGAAGCTCGAGCAGTTTGTCACTGAGCTTGAGACTGCGCAGGACGACAAGCGTCAGTGCCTTGCCCTTGTCGTACTTGGAGAATCCGCTCTACGACTGGGATCGCAATCGACCATTGATCCCAAACTGTTCATCAAATATTTCTCTGCAAAGTCTGAGAACGTGCCTCTTGCAGCCGCCGTTGCGCTTGGAAGAGCGGGAGCTGGAAGCGTCAGCAAGTATCTTCCCGTCATATTGTCAAACATGGGTCAGCCCTCAGCTCCCCAGTACTTGTTTTTGCACGCTATCAAGGAGATTCTTCAACATGATGACACAGAATCGGAGATTATTCCGTATACTGACACATTGTGGCAAAACCTCGTTGCCGCTTCTCAGCTTGAAGACAACAAGGCGATTGGTGCAGAGTGTATCGGCAGACTAACCATCATCGACCCGAAGACGTACCTCCCTCAGCTCCAGGTAAGACGGTTCCACCCTCAAATATTCCAAAACTTACCGATCTTCTAGGCATTCTTGAACGACCGCAAGGAAAGTTTGCGAGCTATGGTCATCTCTGCATTGCGCTACACTTTCACCGATACCGATGAAGCCTATGACGAGTACCTCAAGCCAATTGTCGTACCTATGCTTGTTCAGATGCTCAATGAGCCGGACCTGGAAAACCGCCGCTTAGCCCTCATGACCTTCAATTCTGCGATGCACAACAAGCCGGACATTATCCTGCCTGCCCTCGACCAGTTGCTGCCTCTTGCCATGAAGGAGACGGTTGTAAAACCTGAGCTCATACGTGAAGTCCAAATGGGTCCGTTCAAGCACAAGGTTGACGACGGTCTCGAAATCCGCAAGAGTGCATATGAGACTTTATACGCTCTTCTCGAGAAGGCTTTTGCACGATTGTCGCCTATTGAGATCTCTGACTTCTTCGATCGTATAGTTGCCGGTGTCACTGACGAGCATGACATCCGGATTCTTTGCAATCTCATGCTCACAAAGCTTATGGTGATTGCTCCCGACCAAGTGCATTCGCGCCTTGAATCGCTTGCCGAAAACTTCCGGACTGTGCTTGCCGTCAAACCAAAGGAAAACGCTGTCAAGCAAGAGATCGAAAAGATCAACGAAGGTGCCAAGGGCGTACTCAAGATTTCACTCCAAATCAACAAGCGAATGGGCACCGAAGCTGGCACAACACAGGACGACCCACAATCACGTGTCTGGGCACAGTACTGGGAATATGTCTCAAAGGAACATCAGAACGGACTTAAAGCTGTGGCGGAGGAGCTTAAGGAGCGCGACCGCTGATCAGGCTATCGTTCTGTTGCATGTAGCCTAGGCTTGCAGGAATGGAGGATTGTTACGTACTCGCCAACGTAAGACTGCATTTCAGTCCAGACATTGTCAGATCGTTACTTGAGTTGGACATCGGGAAGATCATGTATCAAGCCGGCTCTACTGAAAAGAGAAGTTTCGAGGGGAGATGAAGTGTGTTGCGTTGTTGTGATTGACCTCGGGATATGCATCTTTCATCATCAATTGGCATTGTATCAAACAATAATAAAACAATAAAAAGACGCATAATTACGAATACTATACCGTTGTAATGATGTATAGAGTGAAGTTTGCAGTAGGTTTTGTGAAATAGCGTAGTTCCTACGAAAAACGCATTTTACTATTCCGATTGTTGGAGCGGAGATTGACTATTCCAAGTAATTGTAGTATGACAGACTGGACAGTGTCATCAACTCACACCTTTTCTCTCTCCCATCTCGTGTTATGAACACCACTCAAATAAAACACATCTCATTAATCAATCTAACATAGGAAACATGGATACACGGCCTCTAACAGCCCACTATGGCAGAACCCCACCACAGCCCGGACCGACGACCTGTCGTACTACTATCCACGGCCCATATACCTTTTCCAAACACCACATCCTATCGAATCTCCATGTCTCTCTCTTTCTCGATCAACTTCCCCCACGAACCTACGAAGGGTTCCTCCATTGCTTCTTATCAATCTCGGGATCCCATTCTTCCTGCGTCAACTTAGGGTCAGTAATGATCGCTGCAGGATGGAGTCTCCACCAGCAATTGTCGCCGCCGGGCCAGCATATCCTGTGATTCTTGTAGCGGCGCACGAGATTCAAGCGGCTGAGGACTGGTACGGGGTCGACTGCGGGGGATGTGGGATGTGGGGGTGAAGGAGATGCATGGTGCGGTAGAGAAGGGGATAAGGAAGAGGGAGACGGACTAACTGGGGTTGCGTAGATGACCTGGTTGAAGGTTGTGGTGGGGGTGGTGGCCCGGGCGGCGACATATGTTGAGATGGTACTAGAGAGGAGGATGCCGGAGTCTGCGAGGTCGCGGCGGGTGGGCTCAAGTTCGGGCATGTTTGTTGGAAAGACGGGGAGGGGGCCGAAGAAGCCCAGAGGTGAGACGAGTGAAGGTAGGGGGGTAGATGAGGGAGCTGACGAATGGTCTGACGAAGGAGTGGCTGAGCGCACTGAAGGAATGACCTGGAATACGGAGGAACTCGCTGATGGCTTCGAAGGAGTGACTAAGGCCGTGGAGGATGTGTTCAGGGGGGATGAGGGGGTAGCTGGAACTACTGGAGATGCTGCGGAAGAGATAGCTGGGGCAGCCGTAGGAGTGCTCAAAGCACTGGCGGGAGTAGCTGGGAGCACTGAGGCAGTACCTGGGGTCACTGAAGGACTGGCTGGAAGCTGGGAAGAAGTGATCAAGGCTGTGGACGAGGGTTCTGGGACTATTGGAGAACTTGGGGCCACTGAAAGAGCAGCTGAAAGAACCGAGGGGGTTGCTGACAGAATTGAAGAGGTAACCGGTACCACTGAAGGAGCACTTGAGACCACCGATGTGGTGGCTGGGCCTACTGAGGCAGTACTTGGGACTACTGGAGAAGTAGCTGGGAGTATGGAAGAAGTATCCAAGGCTGTAGAGGAATTATTTGAGACCTTAGAAAGGATCTCTGGGGTTCGCGAAGAGGCGACCTGAGTCTTTGAAGGTGCAGCCAGGGTAGATAAAGGAGTGCTTGGGGTCACTGAAGGAGTACCCGAGACCTTGGCAGTTGCAATCGAGGCTGCAGAAGTTGGGGCGGAAATTTTGGGAGTAGGGGCCTTAGGTGAGATAGAAGATGTGCCAACAGAAGTAGGAATGGCGTGCTTCAAGGAGGAAGCGATGGTAGGAGGAGCAGCAGGCTTCGAGGGAGAAGGACCAGCGGAGATGGAAGTGGGGGTGGATACGACTGGTACAACGCTAGACTGTAGAGAGACAGGAGCTGGGAGATCTTTGGATTTGTAGCAAGCAGTACCCTTTACTTCGACTCGGCGGAGCCTTGGTCACAAAGTTAGTCTCTATCTTCAACTATAGATAATACAGGATATCAGTGATTAGACATACCCATAAGAATCCGTCTCGGAGATCTCAACATCACCGCGGCGTTGACCCAGGTTTGTAGCGAAGCTGTAAGAGTGTCAGATCTTTGACTTCAACGGATGTTTAAAGAGTCATTCGGCAAATACTTACGGGGCGGGCCAATACTCCGAGAACATGGCGCAATGCTGAGAAACTTGGACTCCATTCCGGCGCTGTACGTAGGTGTTGACGAAGCGGCACTTGCGGCTTTGGATATCAGTATCACCAGCGACCTTGCAAGCGTCAAGGCACCTCTGAGCATCAAATTTACCGTCGCGCCAAGCCGCCACACCCATGTAGGTGTCTACGCCGTTGCAGTCAAGAGGGACTTGGATAGCAGCGCCATTTTGGTACTTTTCTACAACCCAGTTCTTGAGGATGTTTGAGGAACCATCTTTCTTGTTGCTAAAAGTAATGTCTTTGACATACGCGTTAGAACCAGCCATGACGATACGGAACTTCTCCCGGGTCTGTCCATTGTTGATGCCGGCCTTGGGCGAGATGGTGCCGGACCACAGGGTGCACTTGATCATAGCGCTGGAGGGGGGATTGGGGCATTTGGGGCCAGGCCTGAACATGGGCGAACGCTCGAAGAAGATGCCGAATATGTTGCATTTGTCATCTTTGCCACATTCTGCAGCACCTAAAGAAGTTCAGTATGATGAAAGAGATTTTTGCTTGCAAATTTGACTGAAGAGGAATTAAGGCTTATGCTAGCTATAAGATGTTGCAGTGCAGGAATCGTTAGTTTAGTAAGAACGATGTGCTAACTTACACTTGTTGACATCATACGAGTCCAAGTCAGTGTAGCGAATGAACTGAGAGGGCTCATTGAAGGTAGTGACCAGGTTGGAATATGCCTGAACATAGCCAACGGGCGTAGTTGCGGAAGTAGCTGCTAGCGAGAAGGCAGGAAAGGATTGGAAAGCCTCTGCGGTATCAGGTTGGGGGATGCGACCGCGGCCATGGGGCAGGGGCTCGCATGCACGCTCAGTGTTGGGAACGGCGGGCGCTGCGAGGACAGTCGAGACTGCAGCACCAAAGACAAGAAGCTGTTGGAGGGGAGACATGTTGCTCAGTTAGTACAAAACTCACGTTGTTGTATACCTGAGGTGAGTTTCGAAGCTTCTCTACTTGAGAAAGAGGAATCGACATTTTATATGATGTAGATATATGTGTAAGCAGCATACTAGGGGATTGGCGATGAGGTATCTTTGGGTCGATTGTCCATCATCAAAATGAACTTCCACGGACATGTAGCCAGTCACGGCATCGTGGTGGGTTTCAAGGGACCTGTATGTATGCAATCAAACTCAATATTACAGCCACATAACATTGACATGAGTGCTGACCACTCACAATATGGTTGTCCAGTATTCAGACAGGACGCTACAACCTTCAACAAGTCGAGTGAACAAACTTGGTCGAAAGATTTCTTGGTTGAAGGATCCCGATTGCACCAGGAATTCCACAGTACCTCAGATCTACATAAAATTGTACGTCTGTGTACATGCAAAGGCCTATATAACACAGCCTGAGTGGGTCTGGACTGAGCTGAAAGTGACGAAGAATACTGGAGACATACGAGCCACTATTCAGAAGATAGTATTTAGAAATTTTCACCTATAGCCAGCAAGTGGACCATTTTCTTGCAAAGTGGCGGTTTAGGTAAGGGTGGTCTGGTCTAGACCCGGTTTTCGCCCAATGGGTTCCCTATTAGGCAATTTCAACTCAGCATTGAATGCAGAGGATCGTTGGAAGAGTCTAGAAACAGTGATTGAAACGAAACAATGTCAACAGAACGTTAGCCAATGGTGGTAATGGTTGTTGAGGCAAGCGAGCCGCTAGCTACGGAACGAGGTATCCATTCGACCTTGTAATCTAGGCCAAAAATGCACCAATTCGGTTTCTACTTCAAGTAATTTCAGTCAAGCGTTGAAAGTAGATGCAACGTCACCACCTAAAAAAAAACCACAACAGCTTTTACACCATTGACACACCGTTGGCAAAAAGCAAGAGGGTTCACCAAGTGAGGTTCGAGCAAGCTCCACCCTACCTACTGTAAACGTCATAGCCGCATTTCCGCACCCAACCAACATAGTACTCTCCAAACCACACCTGCCACATTCCCAATCAATATCTCCCAACCAATTTCCCTCCATTTTCCAGACCATTCCATTAACAGATCCTGTTCCTGATTCCCAGGGACTAGGTCGTAAACAAAAGCACAAACGGTGTGTCAAAATGGGCCGCACGGAGAAATCCCAGGGTTTAGCGCCACCCGCGATTCGCAAAGATATCCGAGCCAAACAGGCGCGCCACATCATCAACAAAGTGGTGCCTGCGCTTCTGGCATCGAATGCGAGAGCAAGACGGGGTGTAGACGGCAGCGAACTGATCGCTGATCCGGGCCCCAATGGAGCATCAGGACGACCAGGCCCGACCAGCACACGTACAGAAGGCGATGAAAACGCAATATACGTAAAGAGAAAGGGCCAAGGGCGCCGAAAAGCCAAAGGCAGTGAGATCCTCGATGAAGACATTGCCACAGCCGCAGGCGAAGGAAAAAGAGACGGAACCAAGACCTTGTCAAAAGGCAAAAACCGCAAACGCAATGATTCCCTCGACGAAGGCCTCTTAAACCTCACCATACACCCCATTCCCTCATCTTCCTTCCCAAAATCCCGCACCATCCGCATAATAACAACCGACACTTTAACAGCCGCGCTCCTCCTTTCCCACTCCCCCTCCAAACCCCCTTCTAAAAAAGCCCCAAACACATGCATCCTCAACATGGCCTCCCCCCTCCGTCCCGGTGGTGGCGTCTCCCTCGGCGCAACATCGCAAGAAGAATTCCTCTGCGCCCGCACCACGCTGCTCCCCTCCCTCAAAGAACAATACTACCGCCTCCCAGAATACGGCGGCATCTACACCCCCGATGTCCTCGTATTCCGGAACCCCGGTCCCCTGGGCGATAGCCACGGTGAATTGCCGCCCACGGAGCGCTGGTACGTCGATGTTATTTCGGCGGGTATGCTTCGGTTTCCGGAACTGGAGGGGGAAGAAGATGAGGAGAAGAGGCTGGGGAGGAAGGATCGAGAGGTTGTGGAGAGAAAGATTAGAGGCGTGTTGAGAATTGCGGAGTCGAAGGGAGTGAGTAGGTTGGTGCTTGGTGCTTGGGGGTGCGGCGCGTATGGGAATCCGGTGAGGGATGTTGCGGAGGCGTTTCAGAGGGTGCTAGATGGGGGTGTGGCCGGGGGTAGGAAGAAGAGTAAAGATGGAGCCATGGAGACGTGGTCTAGAATTGGAGAAGTTGTTTTCGCCATTGCGAATCGCAAGATGGCGGTGGATTTTGCGGATGCGTTTGGTGCAGGGATTGAGGTGGAAGATGGACCTGGGACTGCGGATGGCGAGGATGAGGATGAAGAGGAAGATGCGGTTGCGGAGGAGCTGCGGAAGAAGATTCAGGAAATGGAGAGCCAGATTAGTTTGGTTTGGAATGCTGATCTCAAGGCGAGAATGACGATTATTCTCGATGGATTGAAATCTCAGCTAAGGGAAAGAGAAGGCACTCCTGAGACGAGTATGGCTGATGAAGAACAAGATCAAGATGAAAGTGAGGAGAGTGAAAAGGAATAATCACCAAATGAGAATGCATTGCGGGGTATCTTAATCTAATAACTTTTCTATCAAGTCTCGACTTTTTCTTTAGGCTCTTCGTCCTCCAGTCCCAACTTCTTCAAATCAACAGCCAAGGGATCACTCTCTTCAGTACCCTCAGTAGGGCCTTCATAGCCAGGTGGCGGGAGTGCCCAATCAGGCAACCCAGTCTGATAGTCCCACTTTCCTTCCTCGCATCGATATCTTCTGGCATGGAGATAGATGCCGAGCTCATGCACGCCTGGGTCGCTATACAGATCTGTATCGCAGACTTTGCACTTTTCGCCCGTCATACGTTCGGCTTTTCGTTTGTTGTATGCATCGACCATTTCATCGTGGTAGGCAACTGCATCGGCCACTTCTTCTTTGCCCATGCGCGAGAGGCGTGACATGATGTCTTCGTCGTCTTCATCTTCGGATTGCCCACGGCCAAGAGACGGTCCAAACACGCGCTGGTTGGCGTATATGGGGTCATTGGAGATGGGATGACCAAGAAATTGAAGGTGGACGCGCAGCTGGTGAGTCCGGCCCGTCACGGGGAAGCAGCGCACGATTGAATAGCCCCGGAGTTTCTTCCATGGCTGTCCATCAGGACCCTTCTCGCCCTCCTGTTCTTGGGTGTTGTTTCCATCGTCTTTCGGCGGATAGTATGCAAGTCGCTTGAAGACTGTCTTTGCCTCCTTGCCATTGGCGCGAACGCGATTGAGACCTAGCTTGGGGCTAATCTGAAGTATGGGCTTTTCACACAGAATCTCGCCTTCTGGAAACTCACCGACGACCCGTGTGATGTACTCCTTTTTGACAGTTCTCCCTCGTATCTGCGCGCTCATGTCCTCTGCAGCCTGCTTGTGTTTTCCAATGAACATGATACCACTGGTAAGGCGGTCAAGTCTGTTGCAGGGTAGGGGATTCCAACCGTATCCCCGATCAGCGCGCATGATCTCGATGATGGAATTGAAGTTGTAGCGACCGGCGGGGTGGACTGGCATGCCCGCGGGCTTGTTGATGACAATCATGTCATTGTCCTCGTGAACGATGCCGATGGGCTGGGCAGTACAGGGCGGCTCGTGGCGGTGCAGCGTGTGGGAGATGACATCGCCGTTGTTGATAATTGTCTTGGTGCTGGGTACGGGCTTGCCGTTGACAACGACGCGGCCGTCGATGATGGCTTGTTCGTAGTACTCGGCGGGTCTGTCGCGAAACTCGCTCGCAAAGATATCTAGGATTTCACGGCCCCGCCATCGCTGTTTGCAGTAGGTGTTGTATGTGTAGTGGTAAGGCGTCACCTTGCGCAGGCCATCCTCGAGGTAGTATGGCGGCGGCCAGGGATCGCAGGGTGTAATGGCCACGGGTGGCGGCTCTTTCCACGGAAACTTGTCGTCAGGCAGAGGCGGATATTTGTCGCGCGGAGGAGAAGGCACGAGTGCCATGGAGGGTGAGCCTGGGCGAGTGTGGGCGACGGGCAGGCGGCCCTTGGAGGCGAGGAATGCGAGGATGCGTGGAGACGGCGCCAGAATCGCGGGGCTTGGAGGGGTTGAATGTCTGTACCGAAAAAAACCACTTGGGACGACGTGGGGGTCAGCACAATGTGGCTGGTGAGCATCATGACCGGCCAATCACATGCCACTTCCGACCGCGTCGGGTGGCGCAGCAGTCGACCTCATTCATGCTATCAGCCACTTCCGATACAACTAGACGGGAGCTATTTAGGCGGGATAGAAATCGAGTTATGGCTGATACAAATCGGGTGGATGTCGGATGTATCCGACGCCATCAGCTGTGACCAGCGTGAACGAGCCGAGGCTCAATGGCAGCTACGGCCGAGTCTTGACCACTGGACACGACCGCGAACTGCTTCACCTCAACACCGCACCACTGATATTATTCATGGCTCTCGAGGTACTCAAGTCGCGTCGTCGCGGTGACTACAACTTCTCGCTCGAGTACAGGACGCGATGGTCCGTTGTTTTGCTGTGCCCCTGTCCAATGCAACGCTGACCGCACCAAGGAGCGACAATGACATGTACCACCATATGAACAACAGCGTCTACTACTACCTGCATGTCTCTCACGAGTCGCTTGTGCTTATAGAGTTCTTTTCAACTGACATTTTACAAGCTTTGATTCTGTTGTCAACACATACCTGATTAAGCACTGCGCACTGCACCCACCAACGTCTCTCGACATCGGCCTTGTCGTCCATTCCCATTGCAACTACTTTGCTCCAGTCGAGTTCCCTGCAGTCGTTGACTTGTGTTTGAGGGTAAACAAACTGGGAAAGAGCTCTGTCACGTATGAGATTGGCGTCTTTGAACAGGGTCAGGAAGAGGTCAAGGCAGTTGGAGAGTTTATCCATGTTTTTGTTGACCGCGAGAGCAGGCGGCCGAGAAAGGATGGCATGACTGAGGCACTTAAGACGGGTCTCGAGAAGTTAGTAGTAGAAAAGCCGAAGCTTTGAGCCCTTTCAAAGCGTCAGGAGACTAAGCCAATTGAATGGCTAGGGTCACACGCATCATTGGCCTGCTCATTTCATCCAGTACATGGTTTGTATTGTACTTCCACTATACCTCTTGAAGGGGTTGGTCGCAGAAGATCGAAAAATTAAATACACCCTATATGTTGACAGTGGAAATATGGATTTGAATTATTTAGTTATCATACGAACATGTCTCAATCAGGAATTTTTCGCCCGCGATGGAGATGTGCTCTCATCTCCTCTCATCTGAGGTTCCCTTACATCCTCAACCTTTATACTTGAACTTCATGATGGCAGAATTTATCTCAGGTAGTACCAGAAGCGGGGTACAGTACCTATCCGTGCGCCGGCAGTACATATCCGGACCTCAGCTACTATCATAGTCTTCAGCTACCATCATAGTCTTCAGCTTCTGGCGTTCATCATAAGATCTACGACACCCCCAGTGACTCCCCTGCTTACATTTGACACTTCTCTCACGAGCCCACTTATCCCAAACCCATTCCCACCACCGTTCCAAAAATGCACAACCCCATCTCCGGCCCCGGTGTCCTCTTTGTCCGCTCCCGCATCTCACCCGCCTCGCACCCCCTCCTCTCCGAATCCACCTACCTCACCTGGTACGACACCGAGCACATCCCCGATGTCCTCTCCAGCCGCGATATCAACAACGCCTTCCGCTACATCGACGTCTCCAAAACATCTCCCATCGGCGACTCGCGCAACCCAACCCCGTTTTTGGTATGCTACCCCATGCCTGATCTAGCTTTCACGAAAAGCGAAAAGTTTAGAGGGATTAGCGTGGAGAGTGAGAAGTTGCCGGGGAGTGGCTTGATATATGATCTTGCCAATTTCGAGGTTAGTTATTTGGGGTTTAGGGGGGCGACGCAGAGGAAGAGAGATGGTAAGTGCGTTACGAGAAACAATAGAGGTGTGTGCTGAGCGTGGTAGGGCGAGCAAAATTTATAGTTACTGCTGGAATTAGACCGGAGGGGGAGCCTGAAGAGGAAAAGGTGATGGAGTTCTTTGAGAAGGTACGAATTCATGTCCTTTCTTGCAAAATATTGAAAGATGGCTGATGTTCGGTTTTGGGTGGAAGCAAACGGCTATGATATCGAAAGAACCGCATTATATCCGTACGCTACGTTTTAAGTTGGTGTATGCAAGGACGAATGCGCAGTCTCGCGCTTTGAAGGGGCTACCTGCTACTGACGAGCCGCAGCCTGAGCCATCGACTTGGGTGGCTATTCATGAGTTTGCGGAGTTGCCTGAGGAGTCGTTACTAGAGAGGATCAAGAGTGATGCGGAGACGACCTTGAATGAGTCAGCAAATGATGAAGGATGGGGGAAGACGGAAAGTGAAGTGCATGTTTGGAAGGTAGATAGTGTCCAAGGGGAAGGCAAGTTCTTTGATGATTGAAGTAGTTTTTCTTATGCCTTGAAGGGTAGAATCAACTATCAATACAACTCTTTTCTGCATCCAAATCCTTCTCTGTCTTCACTTTATTTAGCACATAACCTTACATGACGATATGTTACATTTTAAAGATCAAATTACTAACCGTAAAAAAATCAGATGTTGTGAACAGTGCTTAGATCATCACTGGATTGGTTTCAACAGGTAGAAAACATAGAAGGAGGTAAATAAGCCTGAAAGCTGGGTTCTGGTGAGTTGACAAGACAGTAATTGCATGTCCCATACGTCCAAGCCTTGTTAATGATTGTCTCAGCTATGGTTTTGTGGACAGCATGGCCAGAGGGTAGAATACGCCTAGCTATCTGCTGAGCTTTCTCAAGCAATGGTTCCGCAAACTGGGGCATGCTTCGATCGAGATAACACTTTGCGTGAAACATGAGGTTGGATAGTGCCTCGAAAGAATAGCATCCTTTTGAATCTAAGTTCTCAATCTGTTGTTGACGCCAATGCAACCACCAATGAGCTTTCTCGTACTCGCAAAGTCGCCACAGTGAAGATATTGCTCCATGCATCAGCTAGAGGTACTTGTCAATACGTGTTCCATCTGCCGGTCGGGCCGTGCTGAGGATGGGTTCGATCTTTTCCGTGACCAGGGCGCTTATTATTATTATTATTATTATTATTGGTTAATGTCCTGTGTCAGCCCGAAGGCTATATAAGACGTACAAGCTGATGAGGCTTACAAGTATCTACGTAGTGCTATCAATTTGGTGTAGTTAGGGGAGGGGGCTATCTAAATCGAGTTGAGGCTCGTAGCCTAGTGTGGGGAAAGGTAGTAGGGGGTCTTGCGGGTAGAAGAGATAGGTAAGGTGGGTGTAGGACAAGGGCACCTGCTATGAGTGTTGCCTTAGTTCTCAAGGTTTCCTTTGTACCAAGTCTGTATTGCAGCCTTAGTTTCCTTGATAAAGCTAGTTGTGGCTTGTATGCCTGTGTTTGTGTGTAGTAAGAAAGCTAGCGATAGGGGGTCCCTGCTAGCTTCTTACATCTTTGCTCTGGCCTCCTGAAATAGCGTACAGCTAAGTAGGATATGTGCAGGATCTTGAGTCGCTCTATAGTTACAGGGGCAAACCTTAGAGTCTACTTTGCCTCGCTTGAAGAGGAAATCTCTTAGATAGCAGTGTCCTAGCTTGAGCTGAAAGAAAGCGCTAGAGGCTTCTCTACTAGTAGGAGGAGTAGCGATCTGCTTTCTAATCTTCCAACTATACCTTGCGGCATAAGTGTTAGGGTTGAGAGTGATAGCTTTCCTTCTGTACTGTTCTAGGTAGTTATGCCACTCCTGCTCGCCTAGCTACTTGATCCGTGTAAACCAGGGGCTTAGTTTGTGTACTTCACCTGTGGTCTCATAGTATGTTCGCAACTGTTCTAATGAACACAGAAAATAAGGACATTCGCTAAAGGTGCCAGCGTAGTCATGGATAGCCTCTGGAAGAATTTTTTCCACACGCTGTCTTGGAGGAGCCGCACTGCCTAACGGAACCTTCTCCCGATGCCATTCGTCGTTGTTATAGAGATGGGCGAGTTGATGCTTGAAGTAGGCGATCTGATTTCGATAAGCGTCCCCTAACGCTTCGGCTTGCCGGATCAGATCCCGCAGCTCCTTTTCAGCAGATTCGAAGTCGCCTAATTTTTGGTATCCGTAGGAGATCTGAAGGTTCAAATCAACGGTCAGATTGAACATGTCTTCTTGGCTGGTCTCGGATGCTGTTCGTAAACCATCTCTTGCAGCACTGAATGTTTTCAGGGCTTGGCCATATTTTTTCTCTGCGTCGTATATCAAGCCCAGCCGAGCAAAGCTCAGCCAATTATTCTTGTCATTGTCACCAAGCAGCTCTTGGTGATGAGTGTAGGACTTGCAGAGTCGCTCCATAGCTCCATAGAAGTCCTTGTTCTTGATGGCGGCGTCAACAAAGACAAGTAAGATATGGACGGGGATCTTGTGCACAGTGCCGAATAGGGCTTCTAGTCCTTCCAAAGCCTCCATGAAAGCAAGCTTCGCACTGGGATAATTTCCATGCTTGGTGAGGATTTGAGCCTTTCGACAAACTGTAAGGAAATCATCGATATCCTGGCCATTATAAAACTCTGACCTTACTGCCATATCGTTTGGATTGGTCTGGTTCACCGGAATTACATATTTCGTATTGGAGGACTTCGAAGTATTATACGTAAGATTGGAAGGCGAGGCTGTTGTCAAACGTCAATAAAAATATCATCGTAGGCTGACGCAGCATATAGTGGATTCACGTACATGTGATTGGAGACAAGGCCTCACTAGCATATCCCTGCGTGTACCGTTTGATCTTGTCCTTTGGTACCGGTTGTTTACGGTATCTGAAGGACGTTTTCTTTCCTGCTTTGATCTGGCGGAGGTATGTCTTCTTCCTAATGAATTTTGCGACAGACTTCGGGATTGATTTGGACAGGTTCCACCCCGAAAGCGCCTTCTTCCATTGCTGAGTGCTGATCAAAATTGTTAATAAAACCTATCAGCTGTCGGCACATCAAAAGATTCTTCACCTGGCGATAAAACTGTGCTCCTTGAGTATGAGTTTGCGCAACTCCTTCAGCTCCATGCGGTGGTAATTCAACCTAATGAAACGTTCATATTGATTTCATTCCCACCGCCCAATACGTTTTGGAGTGGACGGTTCAATGCTGAGTTCAGGCCCGGCTGTTGAAGCCTGTGCTGGGCTTATAGTAAGAAAGTGCGGCGGGACTATATCCATCGCATATGTATCGGAATCAGCATGTAAATCGTTAACTGATGCCATGATTTGAGGTAGGCTAGCACAAAGTGGGGTTTCGATATATAAGTATCAATCCAAGTGAGAAGTTGAATGGTTTACGAAATCTTGTGCGTACAGCTGGTTCAAAGATCTTAAGGTGTATGGAAAGGTGGGCTGTCGGAAGTTGAAGAGATCAAAGGCGAATATTATATTCATGGTGTTTACCCCTTATCACGGTTACACAAGAACCTTTGCGGACCTTTGGTTTCATGGGGCACCCGGGATGGTCCTGCAGTCTCCCATTACAGTTAGCGCTTCCCCAGGGTGTATTATATAGGATCCCGCGCGGTGGAAATGGACCGACCTAGCGCACGCCGCCACCCTATTAAAATCGATAACGCGCTAGAAAGCTAGCAACTTCAGCCCTTTGAAATATTGCTATAGTATAGAAATAACAATACTTTTTAAAGCGTGTTATCTCTACTATACTCTAAATGATCGTCTTGAGATTTGTAGAGATCTTTTAAAGGTGTAGGCGGCTGGCGAAAATCGCCTACAAAGTACATGTTATCTATGACTCCCGAAATTGTTGTCCACCGAGTGGGTGCCAAGTCCCAGCACGTATGCAAAGCAAGAGCCCCTGGCGGCCGTTCGCTCGGCGAGGCGACCTTTTCCCCGACCGTACGGAAGTACGTTTTGTTTTACTTTTTGCTTGGCACACGATACTCTCCATTGATTGATTTTGAGTGATATGGTGAGCTGCATCGCCAACGTGTAGGTGCTACGACTTGAAGCTAAAACAGACAATCGAGGGGCATTCTCATTCACAAGACCATGACAGACTGAAACTTTTATGAACTTTTGCTAGTAGCGGGCGTCGTGAGCCCGTCGGATTGACAGTCGCAACCATACCGAACATAGCCCATTCATGTCAGGCATCCAATCGTCGATCCGGCTACGCTAGTCTATTTGTACGGATCCCTTTCGGACCCTTTCTAATTCTCCAGGAGTGATGAGGCCTATCCGGCTGAACATAGATATTAGAAAGCCTATCGTTTTAAAGTTTCCCAAAAGGCTCCAAAGCTTAGGCCTGACAAAAGATTGATTGCCCGCGGAACTGACATAAATAGCCTGCAATACTCTCTCCAGACTAAAGGTAGCAGAGCTCCAAGGGCCTTCCAAACGATCCTGTATTCTATCAATCTTACAACGATGAGTGGGCTGTCGAAAAAAGATGGCAAATCTAGTCAAACATTCAGCATTTCGAATACCTACATTCAAAACACGCCACCGACCTACCAAGACTTTACTGGGCAGCAGAATTACGATGAGGGCGACTCTACTGATGGTGAGATTCACTGGGCTGCTACCAGTATCGTTGATGACGATACTGGATACATCCAAAGCTTCAACCATGATAACGAACCTGGATTTGGGAACGAAGCCACCGCGAACAGTTCCTGGCCTACTCATCCTGTCATCCCAAGCTACCCTTTGGCCTTGTGTAACAATTTGACATCCCCTTTCAACGTTGGGGTAACTTCAACACCTATTCTTGGCGCCCCAACTTCTACGTCGATTGCTGAAGTAGACCACTGCACTCATACCCTCATGCGCTACCACGAAAACACTCACATCGCTGATCTATCACTCGGGGGGAATGAGACTCAAAGCAGCCCATCATATTTCTCAAGTGGAGACATTCCCGCTTCCAACCATTCTGAGCACGTCGTACCGCGCGACAGAGTCCATTGCACTTGGCCCGATTGCACTAAAACCTTTGGGAGACTGCAAGAACTCACCCGTCACCACAACTCAGTCCACGAACTCACGACGTCTTTCTGGTGCCCCGTGTCGGCTTGCAACCGTAGCGAGGGCTTTCCTGGCCGCAAACCCCCTTTTACAAGAAAAGACAAACTCAAATCGCATATGAGGATCATGCATCGCCTTAATCTTAGTCGCGCTATGATGGCAGGTGTGCAGGCTGGTCTGGCTGCTGGAGGTAGCGGGAATGCCGATGCAGAGGGGTCATCCTGTGGAAGTGACTTCAACACTGCTAACGGATTTTACGATGTTGGAGCGCCTCCGATCCTGGATGACCATAGTCTCAGCAACGGTTTAGCGGACTTTGTCGATCCTATTGGCGGCTATGAGCCATTGGATTTTGATGGTGTAAGTAACGCTGGCTGGTTCAATAACGTCGATAGCGTTAGCAGCTTCAATGAGTTTCCTAGCCCCAACCAAACAGATATACCAGACTTCGATTCTTTGACTGCAGCTGATAGCATTTCCGACGAACAAAACATTCCTGGTGAAGACATTCTCTTTTCTGGTAATGGTTGTGTGGATACATTGTAACTCTCATGTCATTTGTTGGCATAGCGATTCGCGATTTTTACAGCGACTTCCATTCCATGTTTGAATATACACCGATCATCAAAATCTCAGATTGTAAAGCAAAAAATTGTAAAACTGAAATATATGTATGCATGATCGCAGTAAGTGATGTTGGGCGAGCGGCCACTGGCTGGGTACCGAAACCTAAAAATGAGCTTACATTAGGTAGGCGGTCATTCTTCCTCATCAATCTCCTCATCCTCCTCTTGCAGCCCCTTCCAAGTCCTCCACGTCTTGTGACCCTTGACATCCTGTTCCATATCTCCGCACCGCCTCTGCTCCCAACTCTCCTTACCCGCCACAACCGCCCAGTGCTTCTGTGCTCTGCCCGCCCAATACTTTGCCTTTGCTTCTTCCCCGAACATGCTATACGTGTACGCCAGGGTTTCTTCGTACGAGGGAAGCTCTGCTATCAGGTCTTCTTTCTCTAACTGCTCGACCAGGCTAGGTAATATTTCAAGAGTCCTGTCCGCTTCATCTGGATCCGAGGGTAATACTGATTTCAGAGCTTTGATCTCGCTGAGACGATCATTTGAAGCCATGATTTCCTCGTCTGAGGCGGTGCAGAGAGGGCACGCGCAGGTGAACCCGAAGTTGGCCTCGAGAGAGCGGACACGACGTCCATGGGATCGCCTTTCAAAACCATCTGAAAGATATTAGTTGTGGTTGGACAGGTTTTTGAACAAGCAGGGTTTACACGTACAGCTCCGTGTGATTTCCTCGCCTGGCTTGATTTCTTTGAGCGCAAACACCTCGAATGTAAGTGTATAGTCGTTGAAGCGCCAAAGTGTGTTGGGACGGCATGCATGATTGATGCGCTTGAATCAAAGTTAGTCCGGCACGTTTGGTAAACTCCATGAAAACTCACAGCAATCTCTGGAGTCACGCTCAGCAGCTTGGGCATTTCGTCAACCCAAGGCCACGTGAATCCAATCCCATTCGTCTTGACGATATCCTCAAAAGACCCATCTTCATTCCCACTCAGCTCCACAGCCATTTTTCTTGATTTCGAAGGCAACTGCGCCACCGCCGTCAGCAGCACACGCTCCACCTCCTCTTTGCTCTCGGGCTCCAGCGCGCTCTTGTCAACAATCAAAACCGGCGTCTGCACAACGAGACTCTCGCCTGGAAAGATAGCGCCAATATCTTTTTTCGCAAACAACCCTTTTCCTTTGCTTCCTGCGTCTTTGACTTCCCACATACCCATCTCCTCCCCAATTTGCCCCTCCATGCCACCAATCGCCATGCCAAACGTCTCCATGCTCACGCTAGCTGCGACCTCGGGGCTAGTGACAAAACTGATACCGCGGCCATTGTTGTAGTTGACATTCGTGTATGCGCAAAATGTTTTTGGGGCTCCTTCTGGTTGCTGGATATTCACACATGAGGGAGTGTGAGTCCATGGAAATGTGTACGACATCTGCACGCCACCAGGCTTGACGGGACATGTTGAAAGCGGCTTATGGACAAAGCCATCGTGAATTACGGCGCTGCGCGGTAGATAATATATTTCTTCCTCGCCACTCTGGGCTTCATGTACGTTGAGCGATGCCGTTACCGATGTTAAGAGCAGAGCGGATAGGGCTAGGCGCGTGCTCCTTCGGTAGTTCCGCGGCGATGACATTGCTGCGGTTAGATACATGGTTTTCCGCGACTAGCTCTTTCTGTCCTATTGCATTCGGGGTTCCCCACGACGAAGTTCTAAGGGAAGTGAAGAGAGTGGACAAGAGCAAGAAAACTCCGATTCTGGATTTTGATTGAGGATAAGTCGGGTTCATGTACAGGTGGAAAGCCACGTTTCACGATGCTTAAATGATCTCGTCGCACCCCTCCATCAATTTACCCGATCTGTCTGGACTTGCTTGGCAGGCCCTGTGCGCTTGCAAACGCAATTTAGTTTTGGTTCCTGGTGATGCAGTTGCCCATTTGTCCAGGGAGGTTTGGCGTCGTCGGTGCAATTGGGTACCGGAAGAAATGGGGGTGATGTGGAGAATACCAAGGAAACACCGGTTGAACGGCTGGCCGGGGATTTAACTAGTTGCCATCAATCCTTTCGCAAGTACCGTTGGCAACGGACACAATCAAGCGGGAGTGATGTATGGTTTGGTGTTAGTGGTTCGATGTGGGTAAGAGTGGGTTTGGATGATGGATCCCTCGCACAGTTGTATCGTGCAAGGAGTGTGCCAGGGCGAGCGCCTACAAAAGCTATCATGACGAAAAGGAGTTGAGAGTACCCAAAGCAGATTGAAAATGATAGTATGTATCAATATTTCTTTATCATAAGGTTGAATATACATGCTTCAATGGATAGAGTATACTTGCGGCATCCTTCACCCGCAAACCTCACATATTCAAGGTGGACAATTCTCAAGAAAAAATCATATGTAGGAAAAGAAACGGTCCTTGAAAAAGTAACAGAGAACTGTATAATTGTACGACAGGTCCGGAAATGTGCACCCGACATTACTGTTTTCAAACAAGACCCATTCTAGACTTCTCATGGTAGCGACAGCGCCAAGAGACTGTCTTTATTCCCATGGTGGTGAAGAGGAGGGCGGTGAGAATGGGGTTGAAGTACATGATTGTTCAAAAGAAGATGTTTCTGATGTTGAGGAGATGATTGTGTTAGTGGCTCTTATTGGTGAGTCTAAATGCCAGGACAATAGTCACTTTATATACACGTTGGTTTCCATGTTGTGGAAACTCTTCGCATTTAATGCGAGTCTATACTAGTGTTCTTCTCATGAACTTGAACTTGTACAAGAATACTAGTTATGGTTTGCAAATGCGAGGCGGATGCGAGGTAATCTCGAATATGGTACTTCTGTCATGTTGTGATCATTGATTTGTCCGCCGAAGCTAGGAATAGTCAACAGGATCAGCCTAGCCTCTTTTGATCGCATCTATATTGCATTCAAGTTACACGAATTGCATCTGGAGTCGTTGTGTATGCAAGGGTCGTATTTTTGTAGTACTCTATGCAGCCGAGAAGTGGGGTTAACGGGCTGATGTAACAACATCCCTTCATAGTCTTCAGCTGAGCTAGTACTAGCCAATGGATGGACTAGATACATAAAATTCCACAGCTATGGATGTGCTCCAACTACTACGTTGGAAACTGGTAGCTACTCCTTTTATATCTTTTTATCGCCGGGCTCTAGAACCTTCATCCAGCTCGGCTCTTCTTCCGCAAAACTTTTGTGGCCCGGAGCAGGTATTTGCTTAAACAAACCACCCTTCAAGAACATTTTCTGACCAAGCAGGGAAACAATTGGGCTAGAGTAGTATCAGCCACAATCCTTCGGGGCATTTTGTGTAACTTGCCATCCACAGTTGCTGCAGAACTGACGAGTGAGCGTGTTCCCACTCTTTGTATCGCTGTCTTCGTAGCCCTTGAGATTGCCATTGGGGTCATTGATAGTGACTTCGGATTTATCCAGAGAGTATATGATGCTTCCTATACTCGAGCCCGCACGGCGACAATTTGAGCTGCTCGTATTAGTGTGAGGTGACACGCGGAGAATCTTGCATACCAGTAGCAGATTATGGACTTCTCCGGCAGAGCGGGGACGGAAACCTTGATGCCTCCGCAGTTGCAGCGCCCTTCAGCCATGGTAACGGAATGGGAAAAGACTGCCGGGGGGTTCAAAGAGCGGTAGAATTCTAGAGCGGGGTAATCACTGGAATGAACAAGAAGAATGGAGGTTCAACGATAACAGTTAGTTAATGAACAGATCCTAGTTGTTAGGTGTAAGTAGAAATATGTGGGCACGGTCTGAGCCGGATAGGTACGCCGATTCAGATGACGTACACCTGGCAGGGTGGAGATTCTGCAACAAACAACGAACTTGGTGACCTCGGCAATTCGAGTGTAAGGCAACCCATAGGATCGACTTTAGGAAGATGGACTATTTTTGAACGCAGAACTGGTGGCGAGACATGCAATAGTACTGTAGGCGAGCGATACTGTCTCAGTGAAGAGAGCCTCATTGACAGGTACCGTTAGTCAGTTGCAGAGAGTGGACGCGTTGTTTTAGCTGCGAGAATAGCCGAAGACCCGCTCTTGACCGTGTGAAAGTTCTCATCGGAAAAACTCGTCATGGATGGATTGAGTGGCCATCTTGCTACATGGCTTGCAGATACGCAAGTGGGTACGTGTGACGGATGCTGATGCGGCAAATAACGCTGCAGTACTTCAACCCGATGAATGATAACTTATTGTATATCGAACATGGCCTGCTCGATAAGGATACAAAAGATAGAAGCAGAAAAAGATAGAAAGTGGAAATCGAGAAACATTAAAGAATGAAAAAGGAACTATCGAGGCAATGGAGTGAGGTCAATATAAGGATGTTAGTAATAGGTTGATGGGAGCACATTATGGACACCCACATCCGGCTAGCGCGGGCCATCCAGTCCTCTACCAGCGGTCGTAATCCGTACTTACATCATATCAACACCACAAGAACAACAAACCCAACAGTCTTAGCAACCTCCCCAACGACTTTACATTCAAAGGAAAAAGTCCTCTACAAAAATGGTATTCCCCACCGCCCCCCTCATCTCCATCATCAATCCTAACTACTCCACAGACACGCGACTCAACAGCCACATACCTCCACATGCACGCGTCGCACCACGCCGACCTCCTCGAACAATTCACAAACCTAACCTCCTCGCAACTATCCCCAGAAGACATCTACATCCCCCCACACCTGCAACCCGTAAACCCGGAAGACGAAGACGACGTCGTGCCAGACCAGCACGCCGCATTCGGGATCCAGCGCGCGACACAGGCCAAGAAGGAGCCGACGTGGCGGGATCTGGGGCTGGACGATTTGCTGAGACGGGGGCCGGTGGGGGAGGCGAGGAGTGGTGGTGCGGCAGGGGTGGCGAGCGGTGGTGTGGGTGCGAGGGCGAGCGAGGAGCCTGTGAGGTTGGCGTTGGCGAGGCAGCCGGGGCCGAGGTCGGGGGTGAGGGTGGTCCAGAGTGGAGGTGGGGCGAGTAGTGCGGGTGGTAGTGCTGGGAATGGGCTGCCGCGCTGAGAAGAATGGGTATCGGTGACATTCGCTGTTTGTTTGGAGAAAGAATACCGCGGTGTTGAGGGAACCCCGGAGGCGCTGGCAAGAGCATGTGAGAGCGTTGTGTACGCTCTTCCAAGTTGCTTGGCCCAGCCAGCTTACCTTGCAGACATTGCAAAGGGGGAGGTCTGACAGAGCCGCTATTGTCCATCCTTAGCACTCAAAGTGCAGCATGAACTCCGCGAACTGGCCCAAAAGTGGGTGTGTATTCGTACGGTCACGAGGGATTGGCACACTACCATCAAGAATGGGCATAGCCGCTTGGTCACAACACAAGCTGAGAATACCAATCTTCAAGCGGTATTGATCATGCATGCAAAAAACAATCGCAGTAATACGGAATCGATCAGGACTTTACGAATTATATATATTCTTATCAGGCGGACTCCAAGTACTCCAAACTACAGACGGCCGTTCCCAGACCGTAACGGTGTTCGCCATTTGAACATTCCCTATCCGTCTAAATAAACTATTCATCATCTGATTCATCATACTCATCCGCTTCCTAATCCACCCATTCATCTTCACCCCGCTCTTGCCGCAAGCGCCACACAACACGCAAACGCTCAGCATACGCCTGCCACACCATCAAAGCCTTGATGACGCACCACACATACATCCACCATTTCCTCTGTGACACGCCTCCGCTCGTACCAACGAGCGTCTTCTCTTCCATAAGTGTAGTCATAACTGCCAGCACAGCCTTTCCCCAACTCTGACATGTCTCGTTGTCAAAAGCGATACCCCGCGGATTGTTAATGATGTCGCGCAAGCCCTCATACAGCCGAAAAGCGTCTTTGTGGTAAGTAATCGGGGCGTCGTCGTGAGCCAGTGCTTCCAGAGTGCGAATTTCGGGTAGTCCGTTATTGATGTCCCCTGGATCGTGCCGTGCTAGAGACGGAAGATCGCACGGTACAGTCTCCTTTGGTCTCAAATCGTGATAGTAGAAGCGACGCGCGACACTGACCATGATAACGGGCAAGTCGTGCAGCATGATTTCTTTGATCCATCGGAAAGGCATGGGCTTCATTGTTGTGACGAGGTCTCGTGTTTGCAGCTTGAAAATACTACGGGTTTCCCAACCCAAGGCGGTGATACAACTGGGTGACAAGCACAACGCGTCATTCTCATCCCAATATAGGTCCTGATCTGGACGTTTGAGATCGGCGGGGTCTCTTCTAAGAATGATTGGATGACGGCACATGGGACATGTGCATATCGCTTTGTCCTGGCACCAGAAGCTTATGCAACGGAGACAGAAGGTATGGTTGCATAGTGTCTGTATGGATTCAACGGTGTCTTCAATGTATCTTCGTCTGGTGGGGCCGGGCAGTTGGCTCAGGAAGTTGATATTATCAGGTTCGAAACCTGGCCCAGCACTTCCATATTCTCGTCCGCACACGACACAGATGAGATCGTCGCTTGAACCATTGGCGGGTTTAAAGGCTGCGATGACATTGTCGACCGCGTCTTGGTAGACATACGTGGAGTCTAGCATGGTTGATCTTTTGTGGTAGAACGTTGGGATTGTCGAGGTTCCTGTTTGATCCCCGAAAAAAAGTTCTTTGTTCCTCCTTATCAACGAGGTATCCGCTTTGTGAGCTGTCTCTATAGTAAATCAGCGCCGATTGTAGTAGATACGTACACCGATGAGACATACCCATGTGAATGATATTCTTTGAGGTGGACGTTTGCTTCATGGTGAATTTTCCAGACGTTGCAGAGACAAGATTAATCTTCGGTCAGATCAATGCACTCAATGTCTATTGGCGCAGTTCCAGAAGATACTTCACGGCTAACCAGCGTAGCCCTAGGTGGTGATGAAGCGACATTACCCACATCTCTGGTATTGGTCACGGAAGTCGCGCCAAAATGTCGAAGTCGAGCAGCTCGAATTTCATCAAGAGAATGTCTGGTAGGTGTGGCGCAGCTCGCTTCCGGAAGAGCAATGATATCTTCTCCTTTTGTGGGTGATGGTACCAAACTTCGTACTACCTCGGAGCGCTTAGAAGAAGGTTGGGTATGCATCTCAGCAAAGTCCGCTCTAGCCAAATTTGCGTGAGTGGCACTGTGGAAAAGATTGTTACTTGTAGACGCAATGCTTCTGGCTTGTCGATTTGACGTTGGAATATCTGGTAGAAGCAAATCGGAGATCAGTGCCTGGTCAAGCGACCAAGCAGGTACAGCTGACCCCCCTACACTCCGACCTTCTTCTCTCATTGCGAAGATATCGTCAAACTTGCCCTTGTTCGACGAATGCATTGTGGAGCTGGAGGCTTCTTGCATGCTGAGACGTAAAGCGAGCAGAAGATCTTCATCATCATCCTCATCTGCTAGATATAATGGAATCCGATTTTCCCAATTTTTTTGAGATATGCTAGGGACCGCTATATTAGATGCCGCAGATGGACGAAGGCTAGGGTGAGATCTAGCAGCCTCTATAGAAGATGGTTGTTTTGACGAGGAAATCGAAGGAACTCGAAGGGTTTCATCGTCTTCCGAATCAGAAAGCTCAATGGATTCGATCGGTTTTCGTGTACTTGTCGAACTTGTAAAATCAGGTTTGGACACCTTGGACGGAGTTTTTGACTCTGGCACAGACGTATTTGAGTTAAGAGCTCTGCGGGGTTTGGATATCCGCTTGTTGCAAGGTGAGTCCGTCGCTTCCTCGACATCATCTGCTGTCCGCTTCCTTTTGGAAGACGGCTTGGGTGTTGGAAGTGAAGAGTTGAATACCTCTGCCGGAAGAGTTTTACGAAGCCAATATTCAGGCATCTCGCATTCTACGCGATGTGCAGGGTCGAACAATACCTTGTCGTCACCATTCCAGTGTCCAAATTGTGAGCCTTCAAAGTCATCCCTGCATAGACTTGTGACACCAAAAGGTGAAAACGTTATCTTTCTCTCAAAAGTTCGCATTGGTGGCTGATCTTCTGTCTTCTTGGATCGCTGCTTAGGTACCCTAATTTCGTGCATCATCTCCTTCGGTTTAGACGGGTCCCTTGATACGAGGTCTCGAGTAAGGAGGACTGGACCGATCCAATTCATATAAAGCCGTCCCCAGATGTTGAAGCATTCACTTGTCAGCTTGAGGAGTTCATGTTCTTGAATTGGGCGGATGTATTCCAAGTTGAGCCTTGATGCCAGGAGCAGTTCCTGGTCACTGGTGACTTTCGGACGGTAGTATTTTTTCAGGATGTCATAGTCTGGAAACATCGAGGGTACAGGTATACTTCGTCTTCGAGAGGAGGTGTTCAGGAATTGTGCCAACTCTTTACTCCAAAGTTGACAATCAAATTGATTTCGACACTCACAAAGGCTTTTCCCAAGCCCTTCATTCACAGCCTGCAGAGCTATACCAGGTCCACACTGGGGTAGACCGTTTTGATCATAGTCTCCACCAACGAGCATGGCGAAAAGTACCAGACCCTCCCGGTCCAGGTTGTATCTTTCTTTCATGTCAATGGCTCGTACCACACTGGCGTACTTGCCATTTTTCTTCGTGTTCTCTTTGGAGCGATCTGTTACGCCTTCATTCTTCGCAACACGATGATCGTGGAACCAAAGGGTGCAGCCAAACATCAAGCAGTCAGAATCTTGTGACCACACAGCATCGACTATACCAAGTATCTGCATACGAGCGCATTCTGCTTCTGCCTCGCCAGGGGCTTCATGATATGGAACTCCGAGATATTTGAGCAGCTCCTGTAGAAGCCACCTCTCTTCATAATCGATACGCCCTTGTCCTCTCTTGTCCCGCTTCCAAGGGCGGCCAGGGCCGTCGAAAACGAAGATGAGTTGGATGTTTAGCGTGAGGAAGCGACAGAGGCGGTAGAACATGGCCTTTTCAATGCCTTGAAATGCATGTTGATTGGTCGCTGCTATTATAAGTACAATACAGCATTGAATAGGAAACTACTCACCATCACGAATCGCATAGACTTGTTGGGGTGTGAGATTGTTGAAGCGCCAATCAGCCTCGTCGACAGCGATTCTGAGAGGCTTGCCATGACGCTGGTAGTGGTCTTCAGCGAGCTGTGCAATCGGAATAACTTCTTCGTAGCGCTTGATAGTGTCCCAGAGGCTATCATTTTCATCAGCAAGGCGCCCCACAGATGCTGAGTCTCAAGTGGAATGCATACGCTGGGATGCCCATAGTGTATATAGTGTAAGGCGGGAGCCTCTAGACAAATGGCCCGTTTACGTGTCTTACTAGCGTGATAGTGAACGACACTCAAGCAGCTATCAAATAGTTAATATCAATATACTAATCAAATCTTGAGCAAAGCACTGATAACCGTCAATGAGTACTATGTGTGGGGTAATTCAGGGACGGAAGTGGCAGCAGCCAGTTCCAAGCGGTGCCGCGATACTCCGGCCCGTTGACGCGGGTTGAACGCGAAGTCACGTGGGAATGAACCGTGCGTCACTGCAAGTAAATGACTCTGATTCTTGATACGTCTCTCAGGATTCACACGAACAAACAGAGTAAGCCAGCGATAATAATACATTTTGACAAGCTATGGGTCACATTCTACATCGAAAGCCTCATTCAAGCCGTCGAGGTCGTGCCATAGCTGGCTTTCGAGAAAAGTACTCATGTCACTGATCCGGTCTTGCGCACTTTTGCGCCGCTGCTTCAACGCATCTCCAAGTATTCTTGCAGCCGCAAGAGCCATGTCGGATTTTCTTCCCAAGAACCACAAAGCTTTGATACAGTCATCTGCTCGTCTAAAAGCGTCTTCTTGGTCCATGTCAGATGGCAAGAGTGTTTCAGACTCCAGGAGTAGGACACCTGCTTTTGCGAAGGCGCGAATCAATACTGCAGTCCATGGATCTGTCAGCAACGCGCCCTCGTTGATGGTAAAATGGAATTCGCGAGAGGATGGGAAAGACATGGCACTACTTGGACACGCGCAGCTCGCAAGGTCTGACAGGATTCGACAATTGTTCTCCCGAAACCTGGCAATAAAACCAGTCAGGTTACGGTGTTCTGTTGTCTCCTCGAGGCCTAGTTCGGATTCGTCCACAACTTCCATCAGGTCTGCTAGAAGAAGAGTTGCTAGATGCCAATGGCCAGCGACGCAGACATACCACGACTGGACGCGTGGTGGAAGACTATCATGGTGTTGAATGCAGTCTTTGATGAAGGGTGCATAGAGTGCATTCCAATGGTTGCATACATCTAATGCTGCATGGACAGCTTCTTCGACCGCTACACCTCGAGCATTCCTAGTCAAGAGTGTTTGGATACGGCACACTCTCCGGAAAAGCAACACTTTGACTGGAGCAGCATCGCAGAGTGCAGTTGCCGCTTGATCGAACGAACATGGCCATCTGGTCGGTGTATGTTCTGGATGTTGCTGACGCGCAAACAAGTATCCGTCCCAAAGACCATCGCCCACAGCCTTGGGGTTCGGTTTCGTTTCTGGGTAGGCCGAGTCATTCGATTGCATACTCTCGTTTAGCACAACATCACTATCTTCATCGGATACTACCAGTGGCCGCTTGTGCATTGCTGCTGACAAGGTGTCAAACGTGACACCAAGCCAGAAAAGTAAGTCGACTGTTGCGCGGTCTGCTTCCTCAAGACGCATGGCTGGCGATCGTCTTTGTTCCCCAAATTGCCTCGGTCCAGGCGTGAAGCGCCGCTGTTGTCTTGATACAGCCATGCGTGATCTTAATGAATGTATGAGCCGGAGGCCTGATTCGAGATGCACAGGGGGGCCGTCAGCGTCAATTGCGAGATCTAACTTTGACATCAAATCTGAGCACTCGTCCACATCTGGGTCTACTGAGGTAGTCGGGGCGCCTTGGATATGCTCAGTGCTATTCTGCGAGTTCAGTACTTCATGCGTCATGACAGTGTCCAGGCCTTTGGTAGACGCGTCGTTGGTCTCACTAGGCCTTTGTGTCAATGCAAATATGATCTGCGCAAGCACCACTCGGAACGACTCTATCTCACCAGCCTTCTGTAATGCATTGCGGGCGTCGTGCCATGCCGTTGTTTGAAGGGTACGATCGAAGCCTACTGTCTCATGATCTTCCCCTTGACCATCGAATACACCGCAGTTACCGTTGACTGCAGTGCTATGGAATGGGTATCTTGTCCGACTTGTTTGCCCAGATTGGGCCCACTGTGAAGCAAAAGAGAGGACAGCAAGGTCCAAGGCTCTCGATGCTGCCTGGTCCTCAGTTGGTGTGAGTTTCCGCCCCCTGATTGTTGACGCCAGTCTATCAAGACGAATTACTCGGTGGTAGATACTTTTCCAATCGGGCCTAGCATTTGTGGCGAGAAGACTGTTGGTTCTCGCGCTGTATGGACACGTCCTTTCTGTGACCCAACAGGCGAGCGCGTTTTCGAAGCTATCATGGTAGATCTTCAGCAGCTTTTCGGACAGTTGCATATTGTTACCGGAAAAGAGAAGGTTGTCGGCATATGATATGACTGGGTAGGGAGGCGCACTGTATGAGGCAGACGCTGAAGAGCTGCGCCGGCGTCTTTTCCTATCAATACGCACAAGTGATTCATTTGTGCTGATTGGCCTGATATCAGTCGTGCTGTTGGCTTCGTAGTCTGTTCTCGGGCTGTCGTCGGGTTTGTCGCTGACGTCTGATAAGGTTCTTAGTGAGGAACCTTTGCCCGAGTCGCAATCAAGTATGTTACAGTCTTCTTCGGAGAGCGCGCCTACATAATCGATGAGAGGTTCCGTGTCGTCCATTTCTCCTTTTAGGAATGGCTCCTCCATGAAATTCGATGTAGGGTCGATCGCAAACGAGGAAGCTCCACAGGGAAAGTCGCCGAACGTGAATCCTAGTTCGGGCGGTGTGGTGTTGAGAAGAGGTTGTTCGTGGAATTGTATTCGGGGCTCTGTTTGCCTCGTAGTGGTTGTAGATGAATGGGATTCCTTTTGTTTGTGTGTTCTACTACCTGAGTCGCTTCTGGTCCGACGTCGTTTTGGTGATGGCGCATTCGTTGGCTGCGGTTGCGAAGCTTGTGACACACGCTGAGAGCGCAACCATTCGAACGTGCAAGTCTTTTTTGTCTTCTCGCAGTTTCCACACGAAGCTAATGGCCCATAGACGTCTGAATGGTCAGCTGACGCTACACCTACCCTACACAGGGACGTGGCTTACCACTATAGTGAAATACCGTAGGGCTAGCACCAGTGCGGCTGGTCTCCAGTAAGGTGTCTTCTAGAATAGCGGCGTCACAAGCTCGCTTTCCTTTCCGACATTGGTCACAACACCGGTTCTGCTTCCGGCTCGTCTTGGATGGTTTACTCGTCGCAGTTACTGCTGCCGAAGATGGCGATGTCCATGCGTAGTCGAGAAATGACTTTGGCTGCACGTCGACGAAGTTCATAGCGAGTGCCCGGTTTCTGCGGCAAGAAGAGGGAAAAGTTGGAGAGGTCTGACTGATGCTAGGGGCCAAGTGCGTTGCTGATATGCACACCCCGCGCGGGCTAGGATCCTCGCCCCAAGAAGGAAATGCGGGGAAGACTAACGCGTGGCAGGGCAGAAGAATGCTCAACGCTGCCCCTGTTAGTGCTCATTGCAGATCACCAAGACCAATCATTCTTCATCTGGCGTTATTACCTTTCCATGCGTGCATCATTGTCATGGTCCTCTCCCAGGTGTCGGTACGTCCCGAATCCATCAACTGAAGCGCTGGCTGCCCACATCCATGACACTGTCAAGTACCTGAACCCGCGAATGCTTCCTAGGCTCCTCAAACTGACTCTGGATGCGACTGAATGGATGAGAGCGATCCGTCTACTCATTGGTCGGCAGCTTTGCGGTCAAACTGTTCCGAAACTTTCCTCGTCATCAACCTGAACCCAACAACCGTTCGATCGGCCCACTGACCCGCTGACCGCATGCTTCTTTCACTGCTGGGGTAAACTTCGTATGATTTGATCTCAGGCACATGGCAGAAGCGCCAGCGTACACCTACAGGATGGTGCATTCCGTCACAATGATGTATAAGCCTGCCAGCGACTTCAAAAGCAAGACATTAGACGCTTGGAAATGTCAAGGACACTCATACACCGAACTCAGAACCTGTCTTTTTGTTTCTGACCAGATGAACTGCTTCAGATAGTTCAGACTCGGTGAGCGAACTGAAGCGGATGATCCGGCAGCCCCTAGACCTGATATACTGTGGCCGCGACGAGATAAAGCATGACTCGTGCTTTGATCGACGAACCCCCCTGTGACAGCACCTCCTGTCAGGATACTTGACGCGGCGAGCCCCTTTTTGGGTTCCTTGAGCAATGATGATGGGCTTGTCCACGGCCACATGGATATGCTTCTAACGAACAAGAGGGGCCCGATTCACACTACCAGGCAGTGCACTATGCATAAACGGCGTAAATACCCTGTATCATACCTCATGCACACTGGAACCAAGTCGGGCATCAAATGGAGCAAATTACCACGACCGACTCCAGCAGCGCTGCAGCGTTGTACTTGAGAACTGAGCAGTGCAGCAAGTCCTTGCTGTGCTGCCCAAAACACAGTTCTACACGCGTCTACTCTAGCCATGTACTCCAAAAATAAGGAGCAGAAGCCAAGAAGATGCTTTCCAAGGATCCAAAGATTAGCGCACGCAATGCTATGACGTATATCGAGGAATACCATCCACGCACCAGACATAAGGGTATTGCCAACAACATTGAAGACCGCCAAAAAACATGTACGGACAGACTGCCCAACAATATGATTTCTATACAATATTATTGATTCGAGAACTGGCCACATGCAAAGAAAAGATGCATTCTAGAACCTTAGGATCATACGATTCTCTCCATCCGGCGCCGATCACCTACAAGCCTAGTACTCCGAACTCCAAACTCCAATCTCCAAGCCCACAAGCCTCAACATAAGTAAGCACGAACCCCCTTCCTTTCATGGAAAAATCAGTTGCCCATTTCGGACCTTCGTCCTGGTCCATCAGTCCACATGAATCGCCTCCGCATACATGTCAAGGAATGCGCCCGAACAGCCGTCCATACCCGATTGGCCAAGACTTGACATACACCCAATCAAATCCGCTTTGTATGTCACTGCAGACTGGGTCAGATTAGGCTAAATTACTGGGCATCTTGATTGCTTCCTGTTCTCTCGGTGTGGCTGTACGATACACTATGAAGGTGTAGACATGGGAAGCGTGAGAGCACGTGAAGCGCATGTGTCAACGGATCTGATGACAGATGATTAGCATAGAACAATATCTCAACATCTCTCTGAAAATAAAAATGAAAATAAAATTATTATTCGGCCGTAGGCAAGACGAGTATGTGAATGTTCAACATTCTATCTAAAAGCCACCCATGGGGTGGTCGCATATGTAGAGGATGATCTGCAACCTTTTTAGGCTTCGGGAAAAAAGACTTAATCTTGACTTCTGCAGGTCTAAGTTGACCTAGTCTACCCATAAGCTACCTAGTTACATAAAAGTGCATCAACAGTCTAGTAGCGATACTAAGATAGCTGATACAGTTTGCTAGTATATCAGATGAGGATCGAGCGTGCTGAAATGGCAATCTCCGGTAATATCATAGTCCCGTTCATTCCCAATCGCGGAGTTGGGATAACATAGAAATCTCAACCTCTTATTTTGCTACTGTATCAAGTAATATACAAAGAGCCTAAAACCCGAACCTCTGAGGTATTGATCAAAGCACATCGCACATCATGGTGACAACTGCAGTCTTCCTCGCACTACCAAGTCTTGACTTCCGTCACAGACACTAGGAGTGGCTTCAGAACCGTGGAACTAGATCTTGCGTAAACGAATAGCTGATAATGGAATGAAGGATAAATGGCTCAGTGCAGCAAAGTGAGTTTCTAGCTCAAATAGGTATAGTGCCTTGACACCCATTGGGATTTTGTAGCTTCCTCCACACTTCATGATAGGGCCAACCTTGCATGACCCCCTATGTGTGTCCGCTGCATGTGACAAATTGAATATAGAAAGATAGGTGTACCAAAGATCCTTCACCATCAAGGTTGTGGCACTCGGAAACTTTGGGATGAATAAGGTTTTCCCACCATCTGAGAATGCTTGAAAACCCTTGCTACTGAATTATTGTATACTTGGATGATAGATAAAGCGAAGATACAGCGAAGCATCCACCGTACAATGGATTGTTTTCGAAAAGTGTAAGTGTAGTTCTGTTATTTCTTCGAGTATAATTTCCGACTCACCGATACCAGCGAAAAATCCACTATGAGTCAAACCCTCGATCCCTTGAGCAGTGCCCGCACCTTGCTTCTGACAGAAATGCATTCAACAAGCATAGCCACGAAATATCGAGGATGCTCTAGACCCTTTCCCCCAGACCCGAATAGACATAATTCTGCAGTAGCGCAAGACTCAGCGCATGTCAGCTCCCTCACCGGTTGCAGATGACAGCTACTTCGATGTCCACGACTTGTACGAATGTCCCTCAGATCGGTGCTGAAATAAAAAATAACATTTGAGACTAAGTGTTAGACACAACCACCAAGCTTTTTGACGAGCGTCGCAGTCATCTTTCCAGAAGAACCCTAAAGTATCACAATTACCGACGGGTGACCGCCGCAGGGTCTAGCCGAAGCGTCGTAACGCAAACTCTGGTTAACCAGATTTCTGGAGCCGAGCTTGGTAATCAGGTCTGGAAAAGGCAGGTTTTTCGAAACGAATCGATATTCGAAGCTTGATAGTGTCTTGATGGAATTCAGCGGTGTGGAGTGGGCGAACGGAACTTGCCAGAAGCCGCGTAAGTTGGCCAACTGTAGCCGAGATTTCACAAACTATGTGGGTATTCACGGGACCTAAAATATATGTCAGTAATCCCGCAAATAACACCGGATTTCAAATCTTCTGGAAGTTCACAAAGAAAAGGCTTTCGTGGTCTGGTGGTTGTGCATTTCTTTGCAAGGCCCGACTTTGAATGTGCAAGACCTTAGGCGCCCAGCCTGGTCCCGCCTCAGGTCCCGCCTCATATATCCAACGTCACTCATCTGAGGTAAGTTCACCAACCTACAACCCCCCAAGAACGCCTCTCAACATCATCCAATTCGATTTCTATCATCTATTTAACCGCTTTGAAAATATAAATTCACCGGAGATTCCACAGAAATTTCCAAGTCGTCAAAAATAACTATCCTTCGCATTTTTCCAGAGCGACTAAACTTTTGATTGCAGTAAACATTATTAAAGTTAGATATCTCCAAATAAGCCAGAGAGATTGGAAAGTAACAACAGGTCAAATGCGGTCGCTTCCAACAGGGAACGTCACTCCTTCATCAGAGTACTAGGAAAACGAGTTTTGGAATACAAGACTTGCTGTCCAAATCCCTCCTTGGAAGAATGGAACTTTCCCTTTCTGAAGGAACTTTGCAAATAATCCCTCAAGGATAATATTGAAAATGTGATGTGTCCAAAGGTTAGAACAATTTAATACTTGACTTGTCTAACGAAGATTGCCATATAAGAATCTCAGACGTTGATGACAGCCCAAAAGAAAGTTTGCCTGAAATCTTGATTCCTGCAGTGCTCGTACAGAATGTATGCCGTTTTGTTCCACGTGATCCCATATTGAAGATTTTCAAGTTTTTGGTGTTATGCTGCCAGTCGAGTGCCACTGAATCACTTCTCCAAGAGTAAGTTCTCTCCCATGTCCATTCATCCAACGCCCTGGTTTCTTGGTCGCATCCTTATGCGGCCACGAATCCTCTCGTACAGTTTTTCCAGATCTGCAAAGAGAGCTATATTTGATCGTCAGTGAATCTATCTTTTGGATAATTAAGACCCAATGTGCTTACCGATAATTTAGACATATCAGGTATACATCTTCGAAAAAGTGGCTCAAAACGCTCCAGGTAAAGAAAAGGTTATACCATGAATATCCTCTTCCCCCGAAGCAACACCATACGATAGGTACACAACAGGATAAAACGCAGACAGGAAACCCTGGATAGGCATGTGTGTACTCCTCGTTGAGTTTCTAGATAACGTCAATTCCCGTGTTAAACCAGCCAGCCAGCTACAATCAATCATACCTTCACATCTTTCCCATACATCTCCGGCAGGATATACATCACCGACCTCGCTATAAAAGCCCAGTCAAGCACCTCACCACGCCAACCCTCAATATTCGGTATCATCCGCGCAGTGTATGAATACAATCTACCCAAGCGAGGAGCGCTAGATATCGCGACACCGTAAGCGACATCAGCAACGTGACTGAGACCCACGACATCGCCACGGAAATGGACGATGGAAATGCCAGTCGTGCCGATGACGTAGATGTGGCCTAAGAGCGAAGAGAGCGAGGGCGAGATGTAAAATCGGGCGTAGAGGGGAATGAACAGGAAGAGGGCGAAACGTAGCCAATCGCGAAAGGTGAGGCGAGGGTGAAGTGAAGAGGAACTACTGGCGACGGCAGGTGTTGATTTCGTAGTGGATGGGGAAGCCATGTTTCCTTCCCCTCGGAATGTTGGAGTATTTTGGATCGTGAGTGATGGGGGGGAACAGAAGCCTGATTCTTATCTTCGCTGCCTTGGAGCGGGGTTATCATCGCCTGCGGCGCAGTTGCAGTATTTGTGTAACCTCATGAAACAGTTCGGCCAATGAAGCATGCAAAAATTACAGCACGACGGTCATCCCAGCTTCAACGCCCAATGACTTCACTGCTACTAGATTGAAGTGTGATGCTGTAGATCGAGATGTACAGAACGGCCGATCAAGATGTCCTCTCTACTGAGGTGCAATGTATGCAGCAGGTACCAGGTCTAGTTGGCGCAGAGATGCCCCTGCAAAAATCTTGGCGCCAGTTGTTCCGGTACGAAGGGATGTAAGTTAATCACGATGTAGACAAACAAACGGCTTAAATGCTGACTCAAAGCTTCGCCTTCACCCACGTCTCCACGACTTGCTGACTACCTGTTCCAGAGTCACCCTTATATCCCAGGATCCTCTCTACAATCATCTCCTCATGGCACGCTTTCGGCGTAAAAACGGTAGTCACAATTCCACCTCTGCTACCAAATCCTTTGGTAAACTTTTCCGCAAAAGCTGCAATGCCATCTTTGAGCACCTCATTATCGCCTCCCCATATCAGGACTTCGTCCACAAAATCGGCAAGAGGCGCCCACCAATCCGGAGGTGCCAGAACAGGCTCGTTGTACAAGTCGCCAGCAAAGGGAGAGTCGGAGCCAAGAAATGCAGCACCCCATCGGTTGAGAACCCTGGCATCAACCATGTCGCGCTCGGCGTTTGTGGTAAATGCAGGAGTATTGGTCTGGGTCAGTGAGCACCATGGTGATATTAGCAAAACACCATGGAGCCTGTCAGGTAGCGAGAGCGGTGTGATGTCTGGATGCGGGTGTGTAATATGCGAGAGGGCTCCGAGGATAAGATTGCCGCCAGCGGAGTCGCCAGCCAGTATGAGATCAGAGGGACTGCGACCTTCGGTGTATACTAGATGGTTGAGAAGCTCGATGGCTTGCTTGAGCTGAGTAGGGTATTTAGCCTCGGGCGCAACGTCGTATGCGAGAAGCAATGCAGACACATCGGGACCGAGAGATTTTTGGAAGTCGTCGAGCCAGAGTATATGGCCAGGTCCAGCAGGGAGAACATAGCCGCCACCTGTCATAGTCAGCTTTCAGGGTCCAACTGTGGGTAATACACGGCTACTTTGACCCACCATGGAAGTATACCAAGACCTTGGATGCATTGCTTTTTCCCAACCAATGCGCCTGTGTGCCACTTGGCAGGGTTATGCTGTCTGGCGCGAACTTGTGCTGCTCAGCATACTTGACATAGTTTGTGGTTGTAGAGCCTCCGTTCAAGTAACGGTCATGGACGAGGTCAAGGTTGCCCATGTTGGCCCGGAAGACGGCAAACATGATATCCTTGAAGTATGTGTTGGAGCCATTGTCGCCTTTGAAGGGCGAGGTTAGAGAGCGTTGTAGAGCTGCGCCGACTGCGGGTATGTCAGGGGATGGTATGTAGTAGAGGTAGGATGGGGACGCGTACTAGCTTTCAGTGTAGCCGAAGCGATGTGTAGTCTGCTCACGTGATGGTCAGCCATGGTGTTGAGGGTGGATGATGTAGTGGTGAGTGTGACCAACGTAGTGCTGAAGACAGTGCTGATGCTGGGGCCATGGCGGATATGTGCAGTGGAGAGGCGGGGAGGGATATCCGGAGGAGCCGTGAGCTTGACCCTCGGCAGCGGTGCATGACGGGAAGGATGAAGGTGAATGGGGGTGCATGGCATGCATTCCCCGCATTGCTAGAGGCCCCACTGCGTGCTAGCGCCAGGGCTCATGACTCGGGACAGGATTTGACCAAATCGATCCTGAATCGCATCCCACACAGCTTCCATGATCAGCATGGCGTCTGCGGGCGAGGCAGATACACCCGAGGCTACGCCTAGGGACGAGGGCTCGGGCGATGGTGGCCAGCCCAGTAAAAAGCGCAGGACCGGCCCAAACTCGCGCGGCGTTGCCAACCTCACCCCCGAACAGCTTGCCCGCAAGCGCGCAAACGACCGAGAGGCCCAGCGCGCCATTCGCGAGCGCACAAAGAACCAGATCGATGCCCTCAACCAGCGCATCCGCGATCTCGAGAGCCAGCAGCCTTACAGCGACCTGCAGGTCGTCCTGCGCGAGAAGGAGGCCATCCAGGCGGAGAATGCCGACATCAGGAAGCGCCTCGAGAGCGTGCTCAGCATCATTCAGCCCATTGTGCGCGCCACCGGCGGCTTGAACGGTACGACTCCAGGACGTGGAAGAAGAGGACGAGGAAGAGGAAGAAGACGAATAAAGCTAGAAACCACAAACGACAGATGGAGCGTGGAAAAATCACTACTGACGACTTGTAGAACTCGCAGCCGCCGCTGAACGCTCGCCCCTTTCTTCTGTCCAGCCTCCACAACAGCAGCAACATCAACAACAAAACCAAAGCCACCATCTACAACAACGCGATGTACGCCAGCTCCATGCCCCCATTGCTTCGGCCTCACCGCACAATGGTGTGCCCTCACCCGGCGTGCACGATGCAAACGCAGCCATAGGCACAGGCGCGTGGCTCTATCCCAACGATGCGCCCACGAGCCATCTGCGCCGCTACTCGAGCGACAGTCCAGGTCCTCAATTCCACCAGGCACGCATCAACACCGATATGCCCTTTGACGAGCGTCTAGGCGTCGACTTCCTGCTCGACAACGGCCAGCGCAGGGCCGTCGACCCCAACCTGCCACCTCCACATCAGATGCGCCCCAGCAACGTCAGCACCAGCCAGCACGCACAGTATGCCCCCAACATGGTCGCCCACTTGACGCTGCCGCGCAATCTACCTGCCACCTGTCCGCTCGACGTGATCCTGCTCGACTTCCTCCAGGACCGGCAGAATCGCGCGGCCGAGGGGGTGCCGATCAAGACGCTGGTCGGCCCTCACTATCCAAATTTCACCTCGCTGGCCTACCCAGACCGCGCTGTTGAGTCGCATCCGTTATCCAAGCTCTTCACAGACATCCTGCGCACATTTCCAGACATCTGCGGGCGCCCGGAGCAGGTGGCTATCGTGTTCATCATGTTCCTGATCATGCGCTGGCAAATTGAGCCAACGCAGGAAAACTACGACCGACTGCCACATTGGGTAACCCCACGTCCGTCGCAGCTGTTTACCGCGCATGCATTGTGGATCGATCATCTCCCTTGGTATGTCGTGCCCTGTCTTGCCATGCTTTGCCCTGGAACTTCCCCACATGTCCCCTGTCAAACGCACCCACACTCCCACACACATGACTAATCCGGTTCAGGCCCCGTCTTCGCGACAAGCTCGTTGCCGCGCAACCTCAGGTCTCGTTTGAGAACTTCTTTATCCCCTTCACTACCACGGTTTCCCTCAATTGGCCCTATGAGCATCGCGATTGCCTGCTTCCTGCCTCGGTAGTCCGGACCTCGACTCTCTCCACCACGTCGTCCATCTCGGCATCGTCGCCTTTTTCAACGCACGTGAATGCCGGCTCGCCACAGGGACCTGCAACGCCGCAGCCGCTCACTGGCAATGCAGCTGCCTGCATACCGAGCATTGAGCAACTGCCCAAGGAAGACGATCAATGGCTCATCAACCCAGCCTTTGAGACGCATCTGCGCGACCTCAACAACTGGACTCTAGGTCCCAGCTTTAGAGGCGCCTTTCCCATGCTTGCCGATGCTGTCAAGATTAAGGAAGGGAGATGACGCGACTTGTAGATGTAGCATGCCCTCTGCATGCTGGTTGGATGGCGTTATGCTTGGTATGGTCTGTATGTCTATGCATGACTCTGGAAAACTTTTTGATTTATTGTATTAACACAAGTACATGGGGGGTATCTAAGTATCCATTATTTCAGGCAACAATATAAATCTTCCTGCAAAAGGCCTTTTGTACACGGTGTCGTCGGCAACCGGTGTTTTTCGGCTACCCGGATCAAGCCACCAAAAAACAACGCCGCGCCACACGCTGTCGTACGTAGACCACGATCCCTCAGAGCCTACGCACGCGAACAGCTCACTCAATCCCAAATGTCGGTGGGTTTCACGACACGGCCCCCTTCGTGGTGGACCCTCTCTCGTTGCTGTCGTGGGAAAAGTGGTCAAAGCACCACGGACGTGGTCGGCTCTAACTGGCGGTCAACCTCTCGTCCCAAACGCACGCCCCCACTTTTAAACCACCTACCATCACGTATACCCTTTTCGGGGAGGGGGGCGGGCGCGGACTCGACTCACTTTCGCTTTTGCATAACTTACATACTACCCTTTTGCTCTCTTTTTTTTCCCCATTCTCCCTCTTTTCCATTCCATAAAACATTAATCCATAACTTTTCCTCGAGCACAAAGTAATGTCATCTTTGACCCTGTCGTCTAACCTCAACATGGAAAACGTCTTTCCCGACCCCGTTCACCAACAGATCTTCTCGCATCTGAGTCCCCGCCGCGGCGAGCTGCCGATTCATGTGGTGGAGACTATTGCTGGTGCGTTCCTCCCCCTTCTTTCTCTATGCCCTTATTCCTATCTCTGCTTCCCCCCTCCATCTGGATCTTGCCCAAACGGGTGGAAGGTGGAGAAGAAATAACGGCAAAACAAACAAACAAGAAAGATAAAAAAGCAATAAACTAATCGCATGCGGTGAGTAGGCAATATCTCCTTTCTGGTCAAATACACGGCAGGCTACAAAGTTCTTCCCTCCCAAGTCTCCGTCAGCGTCGTCGACGTGCGCGGACCAGATAACGCTCTGCTCGGCCACAAGGCTATGGTGTGTATACACGGCGCCCCGGGCCGCTTCAAGGTCGTCGTTACCAAGGAAGTCGCATATGGCCGCAACGTCGTTATTGGGCTGAGTGAAAAGGTGGACCGCGTTGTACGCGAGATTGTCACCAAGGAGGGTAACGATGGGTTTGGCGACTTTTGAAAAACCCCAGTCGAGTTTCGGGATGAAGTAACGATTTTTTTTTACGACTTCAAGGCATAAGAGCAAGGAGCGAGACACGCATTTTTGTTTTCCTTAGACGGAGTTTTCTCATCAGGCACAGGCTGCCACCCACGTGGCTGGAACCCACCCATTTCCGGGGTGCTGTGGCGTTTTTTCATTAGGCGTTCGGGTCTATTTCCTTTCTCCTGTCTATTTTTTCTTCTTCTCCGGAGAGGGTTTTCTATATACTATACTGGTCACGAGGAAGCATTACTACCCTCAGTGCATACGCGCCCATTCGCGATACCAATCCAAACATTCATCATTAGCCACGCTGGCACTTGTCTTTACGTTCATTCCGCACAGAATCTGCTTGACAGCTCCTTCGACCCTATTGGCACGTTAGTACGTTGACACACGCTCTAGTCGATACGGGGGCCTCACTTTTTGCCATTGGTCGTCACTGGGATTTCCGGGCACTCATCTACAATTGCAGGAACATGGCGTGCGCTGAGCGATTTCTTAATCGTCAACTTGATCCTGTCGACCAGGTCAGATGTCATTTGGCGTCCATCTGCCATTTTGAGGAACAGCACCACAGTTTCATCTGTGTCTGTTTCTCTTCTGCGGCCGATACATAGTGCGTCGGCCACATCTTCTGGGAAATGCTGGAGCACCACGTTGTAAATCTCGGCAGATCCGAATCGTACGCCAGCAGGCTTGAGGATACCATCGCTGCGACCAAGCATCCATAGTCCACCAGTTTCCGGGTTGAAGCGCACAAAGTCACCGTGATGCCACACAGGTTGCTTCTTTTCGTTGGTAAACCTTTCAAAGTACGACTTGCGGTACTTTGCCTCACCGTCAGTGCCCCAGAATGCCACTGGCTGGCATATGAATGGTTTGGTGCAGACCAAATCGCCTGGTTCACCTGACGACGAAATGTCGGCGCCTGTGAAATCGTATGCAGCAATAGCCATGCCCAGACCAGGGCCCTGGATCTCGCCCTCGTAGACTGGAAGCAACGGGTTAGGCGCGCCAAAGAGCGAGATAATGTCCGTGCCTCCAGTTATGCTACCGAGATTGATAGACGACGGGAATGCCGAGTACACGTAGGAAAACGTAGATGGCGCCAGTGGAGAGCCAGTCGAGTAGATTGCCTCGAGCGTATCAAGACCAAGGCCAGCCGCGGCTGGATCGACCGATTTTTGTTCTAGAATGGATAGGTACTTGGCAGAGGTACCAAAGTGCGTAATGCCGAACTCATTAATGAGGCGGTGCATGGCGAGATCATCCGCCACGGACGTCGACGGATCGGAGCGGTCCACGTAGCGAAACGGCGACCCATCGTACAGAACCAACGTGGCCCCTGACGCTAGTCCGCTGACAAGCCAGTGCCACATCATCCAAGTACAGGTGGTGAAGTAGAAAAGCCGTGATTGGGGCGTAATCGAGCAGTGGAGGATATGCTCCTTTTTGTGCTGGAGCAATGTACCAATAGCTCCGTGCACAATACATTTGGGCGCTCCGGTCGTGCCGCTCGAGTACAGTATGTAGACTGGGTGGTCTGGCGGCAGTTGTCTGAACTCGAGCTTTGGTGTTGACTTGAGCGAGGTAAAGGTAGCATAGTCGTATGCCTTTCCTGACGCAACAGGTATTGAACTGGCGTCAACTGCAACGGATGCAACCGTTGGGAAAACAACGACAGCCTGGAGAGTTGGAAGTTCCCTAGTAATCTCAATGACCTTGGGCAAGACTGGATGGCTTCGGCCGTTATAGAAGGACGCGTTATCGACGAAAAGGAGTGCTGGCTCTATTTGGCGCAGTCTGTCCAAGACAGCATGCACGCCTGTATCTGGACTGACGGCTGTCCAGACTGCTCCCAATGACATCGCTGCGAGCATAGCAACCAGTGCATTCGTGTGATTGGCGACATAACCCGCAACTCGGTCGCCCTCCTTGAGACGTAGATGTAGCATACCCGACCGGCATCGCCTCACCCTATCTCTTAGTTCCTTCCATGTCACTGTCTCCCGCGTGGTCTCGGTCGCAGCAATGACAGCAGGCGATTCGGGGTCGACTTTCTGGGGAGGGAACAGCAGGTTCTCGGCAAAGTTCAATTTCGCCCCTGGGAAGAAGGGTGGTCGTGGAAACATGGAGGCATCTGGATCCACCGTCTGGCCATTGGTGAGCTGACAGATATGCGCATGGGGCTACAACGACTGACCGATGACGGCGTTCCTTCGTGTTCGATGCCGACGAAATCCCATGTGCTCTTCCAAAAGGCATCGACATGGTCGATGCTCCATTGATGTAGCTGTGGGTAGTCTGACAGATGGAGATTGTGTGTCTTGTTCACTGACTCGAGGAAGCGGTACATTGGGGTAGACTGTGGAGAGGGGTGCTTCCACAAAAGTTTGGAGGGCGATGAAGTGCCACTGGCGCCATTGACGCCGTTGGTGCCGCTCATCGCGTACGTATCTTGACCGAGATGATTTGCGTTCGCGCAAAGGATGGCTCTCTGTTATTTCACGCGTGTTTTGGCGAGTTTTGTGTCTGAACATCGCAGCGTCGCCATGTTTTTTTCTGGTACCTGGCGGCGATCACCTCGGCCGCGCTTTCCCCCACCATTAACCCCGAAGTTGGTCACCGGCAACTTCCGACAACGAAATCGGGTCGGGTTCCCCCACATGGAGCCTACCCGTTGACTCGCAAGCTTCATTTCTGACTTTTATCTCAACTTCATCTCCATCTTGTTGCCAGTCTTGAAAGCTCTACTCTCCTTCCACTTTGTCCCAACCCTGGGAATCGCCGTCCCACGGTGCGATGCATGATTAAGGGGATGACAGCTGTCTTTCAGCCCCCACTGCACCAACCACACCCTGCAAGCAGAGGCAAAGGCCAACGGCTGTTACGAGACCATACGCCACACCAAAACTTCGACCTTCTGCGTGCCGCCCCGCCCGTTCCTAGTCTTGGATTGAGCCCTGGACCAGTAATCCGGACATCTGTGCCAGACTTGAGCGGTAGGAAACAATCCGTCATGCCCATGTTCAAATCATACCCGAGCCGAAGCGGACGCCATCACTAGGACGTGCAGCAACTACATGCATACCGACGAAAGACGCTTATGCCAGACACACTGTCAACAACGTTTCACCTCGTCAGCCATGACTAGCGCGAGCAAGGTCAGGCCATGGCTTGTCCCTTCATCCAAGTAACTCCCGGAACCCGGTCGAAATCACGTCACGCAACTGGTCCTAGAAGCCATCCAGTACCGTTTGTGTAGCTACCATGAGTCAGTGGGAATATTGAGCAAGAACCACCTGAACTATGGCTGAACAACTTTGTGGCTCGTCAAGCGCCGCAAATATGCGGACGTTTGCCTTGTTGCCTTTTTCAAGACGCTATACCACTTGGGGACTTCTCTTACATGAGCAGCCTGCTATTCTCACCCCTACATCCCCTCGACAGCCTGTCTCATCTATCGCTATGCATGATGAACATCAGAATCAGCGCATTTAGGTAGTGTCAAGCCACTGTCTTCTTTATGGGCTTCTTCACTGATGGGATCGTCTCTTCGTCATCCACGATGACTGTCTTCAAAGTAATTTCAGGCATGCTGAAAAAGAGCCCAGGTTTAAGATTGGTTGCAGATCTTACCTCTTGTAAACTAGCGAATTCTTGCTAGTCGATCAACTAGTCCTTCACCTGTCCGTACGTATGGCGTATATGTCGCTATTCCTTGTCAATGCAGTGGTGACTACAGGTATGGCTCCCTGGCTCGCTCCCGGCGCGCGTAATCATCTGATTGAGCGGTGCACATACAGAGTAGCGTGCCGATGTTGATCGGGACCTGTCCGTACCGGACCAAGCTCAGACCGAGATGTAGACAGCTTGTCAGATGCGACTAACGAGAAATTTTCTTGTGCTGTGGAAATTTGACTCGGCACTCTGGTTAATGGAGTAAATTTCGAGAAATTCAGCATGACATCATTCATTCTTGCGAGTTGACTATCAACAATGCTTTGTCGCAATCGTCCCTGGCCCTGAAAATCATCTGAGTGCTCAATATGATGTACCCAATTCCGAGCTGACCACGGACCGTACAGGGCGCACTGGGCTTTGATAAACTTTGAGCATAGAGCCCCCCTGCCTCCTACCCTTGCGGGAATAGGTAGGGATATTGCCTGCTAAAAATTGCTCCTTCCAAGCAATTGTATACTCTGGAGACATGAGCCACTTTGTCGGTAACTGTGGGGATGTGATTGGAAACACTATGGTAGATCTTGTATGCATCACCCTTTCTTGCAGCATGCTTCTGGAGACTCAAATATCTATAAAGCGCAACCGTACTGTGTTCACGAAAGCAATAATCTCAACATCAACGGCCTTTCCTACTATAACATATAATTTCTTTTTCCAACTTGAATTGCGTGCTTTGTCGGTGCCAAAAAACACAGGTATGTATACCACATTCTTCTATGATACTTGCCCTAGCCATGGCTCACTCAGCTGCTAAAACAACCAAGATACTCGAGAGAAGATATGGAACGAGAGCCTGGCAACATTGAGAGACAAGCAGCTCTTGAAGACGATTCTCTCAAATTTTGTAGCCAAGAAATTGATTTGCCGGCAACTACCTCAGACTCCAGACAATACACGCAAACCAATTGTCCCGTCCATAACCGACCATTTCTGGAACCTTCTCGCCCAAAGATTCCTCCTGGCGTACACCCCTCTCAACGGCTCGAATACACTCCATCCTACGAGCTTCCAGTGGGGATGTCAGGAGGCTGCAGAGTTGGAACTTCTTCCTTCGCCGGATGCATTTGCGCATACAATCCAGATATATTGAACGAAGAGATCATCCGCGAGATGGAAGTAATCATCCAGGAAGCAAAACAAGAAGGAGAAAAACAGGAAAAGGAAAAGTCCACCTAGTGTCGATGTCTGATGGCGGACATCAACTGCGATCAGATTATTTTTCCTTCATTTCTTTCGAATATCTCTCCACTACAGTAGCATCCAATTCCTTAGTTGCTTTTTAATCGCCCCTTTCTCAGCCAGTACGAATCTACAATGTCTCGATAAAGCGGTTCTCCTATGACAAATATGAAATGCTTGGGTCACAAGAAGCCTAGACCCATTCTGAAGCTCGCACCACGGACCCGAGACTCCCGCTTTCCGAAATATCTTGATATGGTTGGGAGATGTAAGGATGTTGCTTTGCGGAACGAGCATCCTTGGCAACCGAGCCTGATCGCCGCTCTGCCTCTCCCCATTTCAAACGAAAACGGACTCAGGCACGGTTGTTAGAGCGGCGGCCTTTCTTCCGGGCGAATTGACGCCTTGGTAGGTACGTGCAACCCTAGACGACGGCGAGCCGAGACGAATGACGCTATCTGGCTGACTCGACAGGTACTACACACACACACAAGTAAAAGGCTGGAGCGCAACGGGGTGGCTGATCTGGTGCTCGGCAAGCATCGAACCCATGACCTTGGACATCCAGCCTTTTGCGTAAATCACAATTACGGTTGTTTTGTATGTGTGGCAACCGAGACATGTTTGGCGCTTACCACTTTCCGATTGATATGATTCGAGTTCAGTGTTATGCCGACATTGACAGCTGAGTTAATTCCAAGAATCCATATCTGTTCTATAGATCATGTCTGCTCAATTGAGCTTCATCTGATACTAACCAGTCGATCACCACCATCAGTGTCTTGTGTACCAGCTATCCATATGGATTTGTTTGACAGCAGGGGGATTATGTTTGATTCTGTCCCTAATCCTCGCCCAGAGTGTAGTCTTTGAGCCTCATGTGTGGCTCATCCTCACCGCTATGAAACTCTCATTTCCCAACAAGGCTCTAGGCAATAATCGATATCGATTTCACACGCCCCTTTCCCCCGAAACCATACAGGCACAAAGCACAGACTCAATGGAATCATACAAGGATGAGAAGCAAGTTGGGCCATGGCTGCAGCAAGAAAGGAATCAACGGGCAGCTCCACAGTCTGCCAGCGCACAGCTTTGCGCAGCGGAATGTCTGATGATGAAACAGAAGTGTATTGATTGTCATGCCGAAGGAGGACCTCCCATCATAGGAAACGACAGGCTTATCTGGGTTTGGGCCGGATAATCGGTCTGCTACTCGTATTACGCGCCGACTAGACAGCACCTATGCAGGAAAAGTGGATCCGACTAGTACTGCTTCTGCAAAGGCTACGAAGGTTGCTGTGTATCTCTAGGGCGCCTCGATAACTCTGTCAGCACTTGAAGATAGTCCTGCAATTTACAGTTGCAGATCACTGCTCACCGGCGGCAGTCAGAACAAAAGGTATTGTCCAAAGATTGATCACTAGCGCGCGTACTGGTTATCAACACCCTTGTTGTGGTTGCATGGCGCTTCACGAGTGGCCAATCATCAACGCATGCGACGGAAGACCAAGACCTTCCACGGCTTCTTCGATGGATTTCTCAAAGCACAGATCAAATTCTGGCATGTCAAAAAGTCGAGAAGGGTTTCGAAGGCTGACCTCGAACGACAGCTTTCACTTACGATCCATGTCACCACGTGGCAGGCGGCGGGGTTTGAGACTAGCAGCTGTGGCCATGCTCACTTTGTCTACTCCAATCCATGCTACCGTTGTGCCATGCGCAACTCTGTCCACAGCCCCTCACCACTGCGGAAGGGTTTTCAAGTATCACCCACAAGTGGATTGCATCGCTGCTCCACGCACACGTGTCGCGGAATCGGGTACAGTTCCAAACCTACCCTATCTGGACTCGGCAGAGTCTTGCATCTCGCTGTACCACCGATGATGGCCAACACATCCGCGGGGGCGCAATATGACTGGAGTGATAGGGGCATTGGGATCTTGGATCACCGGCCGTGATATCACCCTGTGCTTGAGGCGGCTTCGGTACCTTCCATCTGTCCTCCCGTTGGCTAGAGGATTCGGTAAATCTGTCAATGCCAGCCCGGCTTCTCCCAATGCTGGCGCCTAGCTGCACATGCAGCCTTTCCAACAGGCCCTGACCCATTTCACCTAAACCCACTGCACAGCCCCCAAACTCCTCCCCACGATACTGACAGACCGACGATCATTTCAGAGAGAAATGTCGGTGAATTCAGCTCATGATCTGCCTTCGTGGCAAAAATCGATCAGATGGTAGGCGATCCTAAGCGCCTCCTCAGAGCGACGTCATCCATCCGCCAACAACGATGACAAGAAACGCTCATCACACCGCCCAAACCTTCCACACACATCGCCTGAGTCGCGTTGCCGGAACCGCATGAGCGATGCCGGTAGGAAACGCGATGCCGGGTGGTAAAAGCGCTACCAGGCCTCCGCTTCCGTTCACGCTCCCCGGATCCAAACCAGAGAGAACCCGATTCCCCCCCGGACGACTCGGCAAACCCGAGTCTTTAATATCGCTACACGCGGAACCTTCCTGTTTTTTTTGCGTACCGCGTGCAAAGTCATTCAGCGGCAGCGGCGCCCGGAAGTCAGATCCGCTGTGTGTCTGGTTGGCCAACAGCACAAAAGGCATCATGTACCGCCTGTCATTGTTGATCCTGAGTGGCTCCGCGAGGTGTCACGCGCTTAGTCCCAGGCACACATACACTCCTTTTTTTTTCTGGGCACCGCTCGGGGAAAATTTTAGATTGCCATGTTACTACTCGCTTGCGGCGCAGAAATGATCTTCCGGCTGGTACAGTGTACCCCATGACCACACCGCAGCAAATCTCATTCAGCCTTGTCATCCTACATCCAGCAACAGTGGCGCCGGGTGCTACAGATCAGGCAGGCGCGGAGGCGGGAGACCTTCCGCAGAATTTGCTTATGCAATAATGCCTGCTGCATTGGGCGTGTACGGCGTAGCAGAGCCGGGTTGCTTGTGTGTGGGCAGTGAGGGTTGTATGGGCTGTGCTCCTTTTTCTTACACTCAACGACAGCGAGGGACTTTGGTTGGAAGAGTGAGGCTCTGGAGCGGTGAGATGACATGCTGTGTAATTGGTTTCACTTCTTTATCTCTTGATAATGGCAAAAATCATATATAAGGAGATCAGATTCCACTTGTTGGCGTAGGTGTCTTTGTTCGTTTAGACTAAAGCTTCGGCCATGGTGGCTTCACATCAGTTAAACTCCATTGTACATGCTGCCACTGGTGGCTCTCCCCACCGCGACAATCATGGTGCTACCTCTTCACGTCCTAACGGCCTAGGCGGTCCTTCTCTCAATGGCGCGCCTCGCCCCTTTTCTCGTCAGTGTGATACGGACGTCGTGTGTGTGGGAACTTGGGTCAGCAATACCGGGTCCCAACACACTGACTCCTTCCCGGACAATGGTACTTCACCGTCTCCAAATTTTGTACTAGACAACAGAAGATGAGAGGTGCTGATGTCCTTGCAGTACGCGCTGATGCAAGGCGGACTGCTTGCCTACGCCATCGCAGTTTGCATGAAGCCTGTCTCGAGTCTACGACACGTGCTCGAGTGGTTGAGCTTGTGGCGGGGCTTGATACAGATGTTTTAGCAGCGATCGTTGCAGGTGGGGAGGGGAGTAAGTCTGCAATGTTAGTTTGTACGTGCGAGGGGTTGATTGACGTCTTTGATCATGAAGACAGTCAGGGTGTGAGTGTGGGAGAGGGCACTCGGGCTTTTGGTAAATCGAAAGGAAGGAAGAAGTAGCAATGACTGTTTTGGGAGGGTTTCGTACGGTTTACGAATGGCGACTTAGGTGTTAGGGATTTAGAGTAATTTTAGGTAACGTATCTGTATAGCGAGTGGCTCAGTAGGTAGCGAGTGGCTCACGGTGCCAAGACCCCATCAACTTCCCCCATTACATGACTCTTGCACGCGATGTCTCAACAACCAAGTGATACTCTAGCTGTTAAAGAAGCCCGATTACAACTTGCACTTGAAGCAATTGA